GTTGCCGCTGACGCAATGTTGTTTTCTGCTCGTCGTCTGCCACGCGCGCGCGCGCGAGACTTGCGACGTTTTTGTTTGGCTGTCAACGCTCGTTTTAATTAAGGTGGTCGGTCGGGAGCTCCTATGGTCGCTGTGCTGTTCGGCAGCTGTGCGCACCTGTTGTTAGCCCGGCAGCAGTGAGAACATGAGCGTTGTTGCGCGCGAGCATATGAAGCCTTCCGATTCGTTTGGCCGTCTGGCTTTTAGAGGAAACTGCGGCGCTCAGTCCTGCAAACATGGCGCCATAACGAAACTGGCTGACGCGCGCTGCGGCGGAAGCGCCGGTGCTTTGTCCGGTGCGCTGACCCACACTTCCGAGGAGCGTTGTTCCGCCTACTAATGAGGAAGGCTGTATTTCTTTTTTCTCTGGCCTCGCGCGCCTCGTTTATTTTTAGATCCCAAGGTAATGGTGCCTACCCGGCGTGACGTGAACTTGAAAGAGGCGTTCTGTGTCCGTTTCGTTGCCTTCCTCTGCGTGGCGTATTATGTGAATGCCAGCACAGAAGGGCGTTTAATGGAGCAACTAAGGCATGTCGTCAAATTTTCAGATGCACTGGTTTGCCTACACTTGGCTGTGCTCTTTCTCTCTCTCATTCATTCATTCATTTTAGGGGATGAAGGTTAAGTGGTAAAGTAGTCAATACTATAAAGTCCCACCATAATTTTAGTTTCGTACAATGAACCTTTTTCGAGCAAGAGACACCCCCTGGGGAGTTGTTTGCAAATTACGAATGAAGGGCAGCCTGACATGCCTCCACCGTCAGAACATATTTGCATCATGTCGTTATGTCCGTGTACATTGCTTTTTTATGCCCCATACTACCAATATTCAAAAGCCAAAATATGCGCAAAGGTCGAATATGTTGCTTGTACGGGACATTGCCCTCCGAAAATGGCAACAGTGAGAAGCAGGACCAGGGGAGAGGGCGTACATATGTGCAGAAGCTTACTGGAAAAAGGTCCATTAGTACATAAGCACCTATAAATGAAGAGAAATTTGCATGCGATGCTGCACGCAGTTGCAGGTTTTTTCGTTTTCCTGCCCTTTTGTGTAACATGTGCATATGCTACGTGGATTGTGCAAAGTTTGCCACGTTCACTTCTGCTGACGTTCATGGGAGCGTCTGGAAGACGTAATGCAAGCAGATGCAGGTTTTCTGCCTGTCCACATTCTGTTTTCTGCGAGCTTTGGTAAATGTCAGCAAAAGTGGCTAACCCGGAATCCCTGTGGCACACAGATGTTGCAGGTAGTGCCATACATTTTATTTTTAAAGATTGCGCTCTCCGTGAAAAGGGCCATAAAATTGTTTTTTCCCTTCGATTGATGCGTATGTATTCGCTACCGCAGTTGCATTTCAGTCGTCAATTACATTTAGCGTTAAATGTTTTTCGGTATCATAATGTCTCGTTTTCTATCCCGCAAAATCTAGGAGAAATCTGAGAATTTATTTGAAGTCGTTTTGATTTTCGGGTATTCAATCTTTTGGATGCTTGTGCAGTTGTCCACACAACGTTCATTCACGTTACATAGTTAACAGTGAATCGCACGCCTTCTGCTCATCTATGATTGTCAACTTTTTCGCAGTGCTTTTGAGGTATGTTTTTCCTGCATTTTGTTTTTTGTTGCCAGCACTGTCCTGCTTTGGCACTGAGATATCTAGATATATTATTTATGCTGTGCATGATTGAATGTGAGTTTAAGGAAAAACTGACCCTAAACTCCATTTCACCTCAAGTCCGGACGCTGCTGCTACGATCCCATGTAGCCAATCGAGCGGTGCCAAAAGTGCATTGTGGTGGTGCTCATCGCCTTTGTTTGTTTACTATCACCAGCTAAATTAATCACTGCAATCCTGCGCTTTTGTATATGCGTGATTGGTCTAACTATTGATAGCATACCCACAAAGGCAATGAAGCTTGACTGGCTCCATTAGATCGCAACATTGACTGCAGTCAGACTTAAAATGAGTTGGAGCATAGCTCTGCTATTTCTAGTTGAGCTGCATTATAAGCTCATCAAGCTATGTACCAGTCAAACGGAAAAGTGTTTTAAGCACTTGCGTTTTGTTTTTTCCACTGCGATGCAATAGTATATAGAGTGGGTACCTGCAACAGCTGCCTAGCTTGTCAATCAATGTGCTGAACGACTCATTCCAAAACACCTGTCCTCCTTAGAGCCCTGTGCCTGCCCCACAAAGAAAATGAAGGTTTAAAGTATCGAGCAGCTCATCTACCGGTGGGTGTATCACTCCGAGCTGTCAGCACTCCCCTCATTTTGCTGTCTTACTATCATCGCTCGCAGCAGCTGCCTCTTTGCACTTTGACATTTGTCAGGTGAGAAAGAGAAAAAGGGTCTCGGACTCGAGCCGGCATGAGATAATGCGTCCATGCGTTCGTTCGGGGCTGTTGGGCTGCCGGGGAGATTTGTCACTGTCAGTGGAAAAGGGGTGTACTCCACTTGCTGCGGCCTTGACCGGATCCCTGGCATTTCCACGTTTACATTCATGCATTGTGCGGGTTCGTGCAAGTGCTACTATGGCGTATTTTAAACTCGTCGGATAAAACGTTTTATCGTGGTTGATCCTGAAAATTGTGAAGCTGCAACGCACCAAGAATTTCTTGCGCGTGTATTTTCGTGCGGAAACAGATATGAAAAGGATGCGACTGTAGTGGAAATCTCTTGGAAAATAATATAGAAGTTACACTATGGCACTTTTTAAACTTGTCAGATAATAGATTTTGCTGCAGTCGCTTCTGTAAACCGTGAAACTGCTGCACTCCGAGAACCTTTTGCATGTGTATTTTTGTGGTTAAATTTGCAGTCGAAAACCTCGTCATTGCATCTTCAGTGATTTCTCGCCGGTAAATAAGCTGGGCGTCCTGGTTTGTCAGTTTTGTACCAAGAAGAAAAATGTGGATGATAGTTAAATATTATCTTTAATTCACAATCATTGATGGTCCGCTAAACTAGTCCACTAAACTTAGCGACTGTGTCGCTGTCTTTTGTGATTCTTTTGTAATGTCATGCTCGTCTTACGAAAGCCAGTCTTGAATAACACTAAGTGTCAAATCACACAGTGTTAATGTGTCAGATCACACGCAAGCGCTCTTACGCTAAGACTGCTTGCGTCGAGCTGTTGCTATGGCAACCCTTATGACGAGCTAGAGAGGAGGCGCTATGCTGCAGGACGCAACGCAGTCGACGCAACTGTGTGAACGAGCCTTAAGTGTTAAAACGGGCATGCTTCAAAAGTTTGTTGAAGGACGTTGCAATGCCTAAAATGCAGGCCTCTCGTTGTACCCACATTCCACGACCTCTTGAATGAATTGAATAATTGAATGGACGGATGTATTGGAGCAGTTTTTCTCAAATGTTTGTGGCATCCGATCCTAAATTTTTATTTGTTTCGCCTGGTAGACCCTTTTTGCTGCTCCTGTTTGGTTCCAGGGTGTCCCCTGGTGCCACCCTTATTGGCTGCTCCCAGCCCGGTGTGCATGGGCATTGAGCCAAGCGCCCACCTAAATTAGCCGTCCAATCTCGAAGTACTCCCAGATTAAAAAAACGCAGTCGTGTCGTAACGGCGTGCTTGAACGGAACTGCCGAGACAGCCAGTGCACATCGACTCTGCCACCGGGTGACCTTGAGAGTCAATTGGCTGACAGCTGTGACAGGCTTTGTTGCTCTCACTGTTGCCGGCTGCACGTTTGCACAACACTCGAGGAAAAGCGCTCGGTTTGGGGGCACACTCGCTTCGGCGAGGCTCAATGTTCTTGCCGTGCTGTCCAATCGTGGTGATGACTTGCGGCTTCCTCCGTGCTGCGTGCTGCTGGTTAGGCGAGCTTTGTCGTATTGTGGCGATGTTTGCGGTAGTGTTACGGATTGGCATTAATTGAGCGATGTTGCACGTGCATGGGGTAGCCTCAAACATCTAGACGGTATTAGCGCACATGTGTGCGCTAATACCGTTTAGATGTTTAAATACCAACTAGCCCAATTATCAACCTTTTTGTAGCCTCAAACACTCGCTTTACCAAATCTCGCCGTCTCGTAAGATTGGGGAACTTTATTCTTTCGCAATTTCTGGTGTTTTTTTGAGGATGTGTTCCCTTAATGATCTTGTTTGTTGTCGGCTTCTTTGACAGGGCGGTTGTAGTACACAATGTGGAGCATTTTCACGGCGAAAGAAAGTTCAATGGATCTAATGTGGACACCGTCTTGATGTCCCTTTCTTATTTCCTTTTCCTTGTTTATTTTCTTTCTCTCTGGTAATAGTAAAAGTAGCTTTTTAAAGCGAGCAAATTGCACCGTCTGATATGTTGGTGAACAAAATTTCGACATTTAGTGGCGGGCAGTTTCCTGCACAGTTACTCGTAGCACAACCCGGGCGATAGCCTACTTACTGCCTTTGTGACTACTCGAGTCCGATCTTCGGTTACGTAAAGGCCGGTTCAGACATTTGCGTTGGAGCGGGACGACTGCTTGTGACTGCCCACAAGAAGGTAACACACCGGCACCACCTGCCAGTTAGCACTTGCCCACTTCCTGTCTGCAGGCATTTCCCAAACTACACCGAAGGTTTCGTAGATTTGCAAGATGAAATCCCCGCACTACCTAAGAGAAGTAGCTGCTTACGACGTCAGAACTATTTCGAGCCCCCAGGATAGAACGATGATGTGCAAAGAGTGAGGAAATGCACACACACCGGAAGCGGGCCGGGGCTGCCCGACATAGGTACCAGTGCCTTATCTCGTCACAAGCAGTCACGAGCAGCTTTAACGTAACCAGTCCCGGTGAAACGTTTGGGCCGGCTTTAACACGTCTCGAAGCAAATAATTGAACGATTTCGCGGACGTCTCTGCGTCTCGACAGGTTTTCGCGACACGAAAGCTAGACGTCCGGTGGCAGGCACGTCTGACCGCAGCGGCTGATTGGTGGGCTGTGCTGCTCTCGTGCCTTGCAGGAAGGCCCGTCGGAAAGACAAGGATGCTGCCGCCACCAATCAGGAGGAGCCCAAGATGTACCTCGAGTCGACGGTGCTGGAGTGCACCATCCCGGAGTCTCGGCTGCGAGACCTGGTGGATCTGCCGGAGGGCCTCGACTACAACGAATGGCTCGCGTCCCACAGTGAGTGCGACCGCCCGCTCCTTCCCACCCCGTGGGCCCTTGCTTCCTGAGGGGCAGGAGAGGGTCGCCTCGGTCCTGACTGGGGGTCTCCAAGCGTTTTGGTCAAGCGGCCGCTTTGGGAATCTGTCGCAATCTCGGGGGCCGGGAATAAAATACACGAATGAGGAAACTCCGAATAAATAAACCTTTGTTGGTATTTCAACACAAAAGTTTAAACGAGGAAAAATGTTTAAAAAAAAAAATATGTGTATGATACAGATACTCTATTTTGAAATCCAATATGTTGCTAAATATGACAATACAAAATAAGTGTGACCCAGAAATTTTGCTAGGCATGAAGTAAAGTGCATAGGAACTTTTGTCATTTTCACACAGGGCAGAAGACTAGTGAGAATGATACAGTGCTAATCACACTTGTCTATAACGCGCGAGCGTGCGGCTTTCCCCGGGGAGCGGTAGACTGGTGGCATTCGCGGAAACTAAGCTAGTCACGTGGCGCAACATGGAACGGCCCGCTCGAGGGGTGTCCTGCCCACTCTATTAGCTAGCGGCAAACGCAGAAGGCTGCTCGCACGCTTTTTACAAACATCATGGCTCGAATAATAACAAAACCAAAGCATGAAGGCGTATCAACGATGTCGTCATCAAAAAACAAGTATATTATAAAGCACTCTACTTTTATCGCTTATCAAGCTGATGGAGTGGGCAGGACACCCCTCGAGCGGGCCGTTCCATGTTCCGCCACGTGACTAGCTTGGTTTCCGCGAATGCCACCAGTCTAGCGCTCCCCGGAGAAAGCCGCACGCTCGCGCGTTATAGACAAGTCTGATTAGCACTGTACATCTGATGATGACGTGCCATAGTTATGACACGGACTAGGCGTCACCGGAAAGTCCGCTGTCATCTGCAGGCCGGCCACAAACACACCAGTCGATATGTTTACCACGTGCTAAAGTCAGATTTGTTTGAATTACATGAAATATATATTATTGAAATCAGATTTATTTGATTTTAATTTAAATAATACGATTTAAATCACTGTATACCTAGAAAAAAGTGACTATTTATGGATGGATGTATTTTAAAACTTGGCCGATTGATTGAATAGTCCATCAGATTATTAAACAGCGGTGCGAACGAAACAGTTACTGTACATTTAGAGTATGCTTCGATTAACAACTTTTGTCAATGTAAATCCCTCCGTACTAGAACAAAAACAACTTGACATGTTTAGTTTGAAAAAAAAGAAATAGCTTTAATATTATTTTTTTATGTTTTTATTTGCTACAATATAGCATGTTACATTTCTTGTTTTTGTGTCCTTTTCTGTTATAATTTGCGTGTAATATAACATCATGTAACTGATGAACGATGTGGAAGTTAGAAAGGAAGCTTAACGTTCTGATTATCTCATAAGAGTACTCCTTGTTGCTGGTGTTCAGCCTGCTATAATCTTTTTTGCTTGATTTCTGTTTGACATAGGTACAAAATAAATGCATATTGAAAGCATAAATGAGAGACAAACTAAGTAAAAAATATTTTGGGAAGTATTTGTGAGACAAACGTTGGATTCAAATCATTGCATAAAGTGTTACGACTTAAATCATCATTTCAATCGTAATCAAAATCACGATTTAGACCAACTCAGTTTTGTTCTCCACCCTGTCCAAAGTACCCTTATGGGTTGTCCAAGCTCCCAAATTTCCTCGCCTCAAAGGGTAGTGCTTTTCCAGTTCAAGTGCTATGTCAGCAGATCTGAACCATTCATTGATGTATAGACCTTTTCATCTCAGTAGTTACCCGACCGGCGGGTAGAGGGCGCTGTCGCACTCGCCGCCATTGGGTGGCTTCAATTTGATTGGTTTCGGTTTCAGCGCGCTCGTGGCTGTGTTTGTGTTATGTCATTTTTGCATAATTTCGTGATAAAAATCTGCCGGTTATAGCACACAACTGATAAAACTGTGGTACTGAGCCAATTTGAGAACCACAAGGTGGTTTCGGGTCATATTCGCGGACTTTTTTACGGACACTTTACGATGCATCTGGTGAAATCGTTCGGTGGCGGAACGACTATGATGCACAAGGAGGATTCCAGTCGTCTAGGGCCGTACCCACTGACCCTAGTTTCCATCAAAATGAACTAATAAAGAGACTATTGAGTTGGTGCATAATAAAAGTGCAGGTCCACAATCTGATTAAAAACCACCTGAATCGCGAAAAACGCATGAAGTCGCCAGCTCACTGGTCACTGTCTGATTTTCGCGGACACCAACTTTTTGTGAACTCCAAAGACTTGAAATGTATCCTATAATAACGCAGATAATGTAAAAAAAAAAAAGTGATATCATCTTGTGCTGTTTTCCTTAATTAAAGAAATTAAGTACTCGAGAAATCTTTCGATAGTCCGTCCTAGGTCGGGTGGGAAATTCCTTTAGCTATTGACCCTGCTAAAGTACTTATTAACAGCATTTCACAATGTTGGCAATAGAAAATGAGCTATTTGTTTTACTGATATTTGATAACGAGATGCTTGGCACATGAGATAAGTGACTGGCCCATCAATTGAAGTCTGAAATGTTGTCTTTGTATAAACTTTGCCGAATAAAATTAAAGGGTCCGAGAGAAGCGATCTCCCATTCATTTGGCTCAAGTCGAATGCAAGGCACGACTTCATGAGCCTGTATAGACAGATCTCCATGGAAACTGATGCGATCTAGAATCAACAACGCTGAATTCGGGTTATTTCTATGTAGATTGCTTCTTTTCGGCATAACATAATGTGAGCTCTAGGCACTCCCAAGCTGCCCGTGACAGATTTTTTTTTTTTTCTTTTTCACAGGGGTCTTTGTGTTAAAATAAATAAAACAAATAAATTAATTTTTGTGTTAAAAAAAATTCAGCAAGCTTTAATGACTGCAGATATGGGACCGAACATGGTGTACGATTTGTCTAAATCCATAAATAAATCAAGCAAATTTAGGTATAATGTCGTAAACAAATCGCCTGATGTGGACGTTATCATTATCCTGAGCATCAGTTAAAATGTGAGTTAAGCGTTTGTTTCCTTATATATCTTATATATCCTACATAATCAAAAACAACTATTTTAAGTTTGTTATGAAGGCCAGGCAGGAGACTTTCAGGAAACACGCATAGCATCATATGCTGAGTATTTTGGTCACATTCCTTAAGATCCTAAGTGTGCGGCTATACATATACATTGCACTATAGTTATTTCGAATATTCCACCACTATCACTGAGCAAACTTCAGTTGTCATAAATAGTTGGGCTCAATATGTGCCAGGGCTGACGCTGGTTCCTGTACCTCCTCCCTTCTCTTACGTATCCGGTACGCTGGCGGTTAAAATAGTACAAATATGTTACAAAATTAACTGCAGTTGCTGTCGTGCACATTATTATGGCATGCAATTAAGTTGTAAATGTAAGCAACGGGCGGCGATTTACAGTAAGGCGAGAAACGCGGTGAAAAGCGACGAAAAATGCGGATGCAGCGCCTTCGGCAAGGCGCGGAGGGGAGAGCGGAGCGACGAGTTGAAGCCACCTTATGGCGGCTGCGTCACGCGATTCCAAGATGGCAGCGCCCATGAGACGGAGGCTGAAAAGGTCTATAGCTAGGAGCGAAACACTTCTTAGTTTGCGCATCATTGTTTGCAAGGTCTGTAGGCTCTCGCACTGCTTTATTGCATCAGTGCCGATTCCGGGAGGGGTTCGTCAGCTTTCGGTCAAGCCGCATGGGAGTTCCTAGAGATCCAAAGTTTGAAAACTCCTGGTCTAGACCACCGTCTCTCAAAGTGTAGTCTACGGAGCCTCGAGCCTGCGGCAACACTAATGGGGGTTCGTATCGATGTGGGGATCACTCCACCAGGTAAGGTACGGAAGAGGGTTGAAATCCTAAGACCAAACATCTTTGCAGTCGTAGTGGAGTTCTGACGAGTTGCAAAGCACTCTTGCTGACTTTTAGTTGGAAGTGCATTTTTAATGCAGCCATTCTCTGAATAAGCGCTCTGATGCGTGTTGCCATTTTCGCTTTCCACTGCGAGGCAACTTCGTCTTGGCTCGTCTACAAGGTGTCGGAGGCACAATCAACTTATTCAATGGAGGTTCCTGAATGACCCCTAAGGTAGTTAAAGGCTCTGCAGCGACGCAAGGTTTAAGGCTGAACCGCATGTTGATTTAGCTAGCGATGAGACGGCACAAGTGACGAGTGGCGGAGATTTCTTACTGTCGCTCGTTGCGTCGCTCGGATCTTAGATTTCTAGAAAACGTTGCTCATTGCCTTGGTCGCTTGTCTCGTCGTTCTCCAAATCGCTTAAGGGGCCCTGCAATGACTTTTTGACTGGTTTTTAGTTTGCACCGAACCTGAGTGCACTGAACGTAGTAACTTAATGAAACTTTTTTTTTTTTTTTTTTTAATTTTGCTTTATTTAGAAAGTTCTAAGCGAAGTAAAATTACGAAAACAAGCAAAAAAGTAACCTTTTTCATGACGTCCCTGGTCCTGCCTTGGGTGGCCGTCTACTAGAGGAGGGTTAGTGAATTCGGCGAGCGCTTACGTCCGCCGCACTCAGTCTCGAGGGCTCGAGAGGGCACCACTAAAGCATGGGCTGGGTAGGCTGGATGAAGCGGGTGGCCAGGGCAGCTCGCATTGCATTTGCTGCGCGACTAAACACTAATTCGGCTTGACACTTCATTGGCCACAAACGACAGCAAGCACAGTGTAAATTTCAGTTCAAAACGGGAGCCACTTTGCGCTGCCAAACCGCCAAACGGCCAAATTGCAAGCCAAACCTGCTCGCTGAAGGCCTTCGAAACGCTTAGAACCGGTCAGATCCCCGAGCACATACGACCGCAGTTCCACCAAGTACATCCGGGACCTTTCTACACCCGCCGCTTCCCGGTGCCTGGTCCCACTACCCCTTTCTAGTATGGGCCGCTTTTTTTGCCACTTGGTGGCGGGTATGTCGACGGGTCATTTCTGGTTTCCGTACTTTATAAACTGCATTTGTTTCTTTTCTGATCTAAAATACTGAACAAAAACTACTTTGTTAAATACTTGAAAAGGCTCGCGCCACTTATATTTTGTATTTCAACTAAGAAAAGCTTTTAGCGGCTCTGACCAGTCGTAAGGCAGGAGTTGGCCAGGAGCAACGTCACAATCTTGTCACATGCCCGCGCGTGTTCGGTACCATGGGGCACCTCCGTAGGTGGAGGAGGCTTCCGTGTCGTGTGGTTAAAAGATGACACACTGATATTTAGTTATTCTCTCCATGCCCGCTGGGTTGCCCGAACTACAAGAGATGTGGAAACCGTAAGGAAGGTAGACGATAGGATTGCAGGGCGCCCCTTTAAATGTGGTTTATACTTTAAGAAGCTCTGGTCTAGACGCCAGCGGTTGGAAAGCATGATGCATCGATGACAAAATTACCGTTCCTTGTGGGTGTTTATTATTTGATTTTTCCAAGGACAGGATTCTTTTGGAAACAATTTTGTTTGTTTCCACACTTTCTCACATTAAATCTGGCACTCGCTTTTTGTTTCCTACATCATTCTAAAATGCCTCTAACTAGACATTTTATGCGTGCCTTTTTTTTCTTTTTTTTTTTTGTGGAAGGATGCCCCTAAAGTGCCTGACAATCTAAAAAATTGATTTAAAACTCAAAATCTAATCTTTTTCTTTTTTTTTTTTCACGCTAAATTATTTGGTTAGAAACCTGCCGCTGAGGATTTTCCCATGTCCGACGACAATGCAAGACTCAGGAGTTAGAGATCTTAAGAAAGAAATTTGCAGAAATGAATTTAAAAGCACCGAAAACATGTTAAGAGAAGCTTTGAGCACAGTGTGAGGCATTGAGACAGCCAATGGAGCTTTGGAGTCTTTGATGTTACAATCTTTCATGCTGGGCCATCAATGCCAGCCCGACTTTGTTTGTCTGGTTAACTCTGGAGCAAAACTGTTTTAGTGGGGTCTCTCAACACCATGTCCCTTATTTCTGTGAATTACGCTTTTTCCTTTAAAGTTTCCTTCCCAGTCTCAGGATTTTAACATCATGATCAACATACACCTGCCTGCCTGCCCCTTGACAATTTTTTCGTATATCCTAGTGCTTCACGTGAAAAGAAATGACACGTTTGAATGGGTCCTCAAAGACTGTTCTATTTGTGTGTGTCCTAGCGTGTCATATGGTGACTTTTGAAACCTCCGAAGGTACTTAAATATATTCTTCGTCGAGAAATAAAGGCGTTTAGAAAAATTTCAATAACAATAAAAACTTTAACGTGCAGATGTTTTGGTAAGTTTTTCCTTCTTTGAGTGCCTACAAGCTGTTATTCATACAGACTTAAAGAAGGAAAGACTCCTTCCGAAATGTCTGTATACAAAAGTTTCCATCGTTATTCAAATTTAGGTAAAAGCCTCCGAAGCAATAGCGCCGAGGGAGATCCGTCTTTTCCACGGTTGAAACCTTGCCTCGCACATCTTGTGTCTTGCAGCACTGGCGTTCTTCGACCACATCAACCTCCTGTACGGCACGATATCGGAGTTCTGCACCATGTCCGGCTGTCCAGACATGACCGGCCCTGGAAACAGGTGCGTTCTGCCCCACCCACCGACGGCACACGGGAAGGATAGGCGACGTAACGATGAGACTCCTCATGCCCCTCGATTGTCGCCTTCCAAAACGGCAATCGCCTTTGAGCTCTTCACTTGACTGTGAGCTCTTGTGACCTCCTACGACGAGTGACCATGCTGGCGACGTCTAATCTTAAAACACTCCCAGTCACTTTCTTGCATTTATTTTCCTTTTTTTTTACGCATCACTTTTTTACAATGGGCTCGAAATGCTTTTTAAGAATGTTATAAGCTACCATTTCTTATAGATAGCTGCTAAACCTTCCATCTAGTATCAAGTGCAAATGTGCAAATCAGCCTCAAAGAGACCATGACATGATTTCTGAACTTGTACCGAAAGTGACCTCAGTAAGTTCCGAGTGCCCTTGGAACCTGCAAAATAAATTTGTTTCCGTTTGAGTCCAGTCACTTTTGCAGAACAAAGAAAAACCCATATCTGCTTTTCCCCTCGGCCACTGAAACGAGCAGTCTATTATGTCGCAAAATATTGAACGCCTTAAGCGCTTCTGGGGCCCGACACGTCTTTTGACCCCCACCAGAATGACCGAATGCAATAGTTGATGGTCACCTCCTTTCTACTTGTTTTCTCTCTGCGTTTTTTGTGCATGGAGGAGAGGTGGATCAGCTTCACTTTCACGTTGAGGTGGAAAGAGCAAACGACCGTCGTGTTGAGTGAATGACCGTTCCGCGACGTCATTAACTTTGCACGCAGATTTTCAGATAAATCTCTCGCCGTCAATATTGCTGAAAAAACGTTTTTTTTTGTCTAAAATTTATTTTTTATTTCTGTGTCCCAACCATACTGTTTTAGAAAAAACATTTTTCTTTTCAGGGGCCCTTTAAGGATGTCGATTTGTTTCTGAATCATGAGGCCAGAGAAGTTTGTTTGATCACTATGTCGTTTCTGAATTGACAGTGTGGCTTTACGCAACACTTCGTCAGTTATTGAGGGTAGGATATCATCAGCGACATCTTGCTATGTTATCTGGAATTAAAAGTGCTCTCAGCAGTGCTCCTGCCTATCTTGTTGGGATGAACTGATAAACATTTTGCTTGCTCACCTCTGAAACAGGCAGTACCTGTGGTTTGACGAAAAGGGCAAGAAGTGCAAGGTTGCCGCACCGCAGTACATCGACTATGTCATGACCTTCACGCAGAAGACAGTCAACGACGAATCTCTGTTCCCGACCAAATTTGGTGAGCTGGGACTTTTTAATTTAACCCTAGTTTCCTTTGGCTTGCGGCGTGTGTTGCGAGAGGTGCTGCATAACTCTAACTTTGACGCTGATCATCTTTTGGGGGGTGCTGTGAGGTGTGCTGCTTTTCTGTGCTTCATGTTGCGCAACCCTGTGAAAAAAGACCCGCATTGTTTACAACCTAATTTGACTAATATACCACTCCACTGAGATCAGATATGGTTCTGTTAAATGGTGTGTGCTTTTTGTGGGCAATTATTGCTTTAATGAGCTGTTGAAAAGTTTTGGTAAGAGACAAGATGGCATCCAGTAGTGATGTTTCATCTAAAGAAGTGTGTTGCCAGCTGTCATTTTATTTTACATAATGCTTGCTGCTCATGTTTCTTTTGTTTGTTTTTTATAACTGTTCTTTAGAAAAATAATTTACAAGTTCTTCGCTTTTTGAGTTATGAATTAAATGGAAAAAAGAATTTCTTACTCAATCTCTAGTTGAATGCTTATTAATATTGAAAAGAACAGATTATGGCAGCTTTATCATAATGGAAAGAGAGTTGTCTGATCAACTCTGAACCTGCCCAGCAGACAACACAAAAAATAACTTCGACGGGATTGTTTCAAGCACCATCGCGCATAGGCTTATTTGTCAGTGGTTCTACTTCCTAATTATGCTGCAGCAGTCAGTCCTCGTGTAAAGGACAAAACTTTCTGCACTCCCCAGCTTATCTAGTAGTTGTGGACAGCCCGTACAAAATCTGGATAGTGAAATGAAGCGTGCAGAGATAAGATATCGTAGAGAAAAAATTGCCTTTTGTGGACTTCACAAGAGCATGCGAGTATGTGAACGACTTTCGGCGTAAAGCATTGATCAACGACCGAAGGCTTCCGGCATTTTAGTTTGTCTCCATAGTCGGTGACAGGTTAAAGAGTTCAGAGGCAGCTCCTCTTTCCACTTTAGCAGAGCAAACACTGGAGAGGAGGTCGCTTCTTCTCCGGTGTTTGCCCTGCTGAAGTGGAAAGAGATGAGAGGAGCTTCCTCAATCACCGACTATAGGGAAGTTCCGAGCGCCGGGACTCGGAGAGAGAAGTCGCCGACTGTCTTCCAAGCGTGCCGAGTCTCCCCCAATTGCGTCTCGTCCCTTCCCGTCCAGAGCGCGACTTCCCGAGTTCGTTCGAGTCGCTGGTGAAGAAGATCCACGGGCTGCTGCTGCACGTACTGGCCCACCTGTACCACGCCCACTTCCGGGAGATGGTGCTGCTGCAGCTGCACGGGCACCTGCACTCGCTCTTCGCCCACTTCACCCTCTTCAACGCCCGCTTCAACCTCGTCGACCCCAAGGACGCCCTCGTGCTCCAGGACCTGGCCGTGGCCCTGGGGCTCTGCCCGCCGACGGAGAACCCGCCCACGTCCTCCGCCGCTGCCGCGCCGCCCGGCGGCGACGAAGACGCCGCCGCGGTAGATGCGTTGGCGATCGACGGCCTGCAGGCGCCACTCTCGCCGCCGTTGGTGCAAAGGGCGCCGGCCGGCATGGAGACTCCTATGGCCGTCGGAAGCACGGTGTCTGCGCAGTAGCCGCCAAACAACCGCGCATGCGTGGCGTGCGACATGCCGCGGGGCGTCGTTGCTGTCGTTTGGGAGAGAGTACGAGCGAGCGTCGTTGGGCTGCGTATCTGGCCACGGCCGGGATAGAATTGAAAGGCGTGCTGTCTTACTGCCTTCACCTTTAGGCCAATGCTGGGGAGAAGGACACGATAGAATCTAAAATGGCAATAACCTGGTTTGCTATTGTAACGATGATGCAAAGTAAACAAAGTAATAGGAAACAAAAACCGAAGGTTGGTTATGGCAGCACACGTACGCAGCTCCTTAAGCGTCTATAAACGGCCGTTTATTTATTGTAAACCAAAATTATTTCGATCGGCGCTTTACTGTTGTTTCGTACAACTATGTGGGCACATGCTTTCTATCGCACTGGTCGGAACAAGTTGTTCAGGGTGGTTTGGGCTGCACTCGAAGTTGTGGCATTGTCATGCCCCCACACCATAGAAAAACCACCATTGCTTTTAAGCGAGAGCAAAGGCCGCAAGGCACGCCGCCGTCTACCCCGGCTGTGATTCGGCGGGATACTTTTTCCCTGAGGCAGTGGTGCGGAAGGAACATTTCCTTCCATCTATCATTTTCCACACAACTTTTCTTTTTAGCGATATAATTACGTACGAAAACGTGTCGCAGTATTTTTTAATGTGAAAAAACGGACAAATGTTTTGCACTCTAGCCGTGCGGCTTGTCGGCGTCAGGGCTTCGCCGAAATTGCGAAGCCGGGACGCACGTGCTAACCCCGTCTGGACCGAGGTGCGCTCCGTTCCTCTTCCGGCGACAGCAACGGTGCCTCTGGCGTCGCTGCCCCGGGGGTTACGACAGGCGCCTCTCGAAACGTTGAGTCTTTCACATCTTGCGTCTAGGCGGAGGGTGACTAGCTGCGGTTCCATTTTTTCAATTGCGCGACAGGGTTCGGGCTGCCATGTTTGGCATCGCCCCATCACGTCCTTGCCCCCGCTTCGTTGGACGACGTTTCCAAAGTGCCGCCGTAAGACGCCGCACTACGGAGGAGTGTCGTCGAGTCCGTTTGGGACGAGTTGTTTCCGCATTAATCGGAGACGGGGGCACGACCGGAAAGACACGGCGGTCGCGTCGAGGAGAAGCGTCTCCGCACGGCAGACGTTGATGCAAGGACGCCACACTTAAAGACGAAGTCCCACGCTGGCATTCTCGACCGCCACCGTTGCTGTGGCGCGTTCCTTCTTGCGTTTGCAGCATGAGAAGCGTATTTATTTTTTTGTTTTCTCGCCTCCGAAGAGGAGGGGGGTTCGAGGTGATAGACTATGATATATATGTACATACTCTATTTTTTAAAGAAAAAGTCGCAGAGTTTGATAAGTCTTTCTGTCAGGGCATTGAGGATGCGTGGTGTTGGCGGGGGCGGAGTAGACCCCGCCCCATTTCTTTCTTTTTCTTTTTTTTTTTTTGTTGCTTTTGTGAAAGTTGAGTGTTTGTACTTTGCGGAAGTACACGGGGCCGGCCGGCGCCTTGCCGACGTAGAGCGCGCGTCAGACTGTCTGGTGCGCTTTTGCCGACATCAGACCTAGATGTCACCCTCTTAGATTCCCCCTTCTGGACAAGTAGCATTTTGGCCTCATACCAGCTAGATGGCCTCCAGGATGGGTGTGCTTCGTCTCAAATAGATTCTTTGTTGTCTTTTGTTTTTTGCGCAATTTTTTGGAGTTAATTGATTGGCAAGCGCAAAAAGGGGCCACAACGTACTGTGGGTATATCGGTGGCATGAGTGACACTGGTCCGAGCGTTTTCACCCTCGAGCGATGACCTGGAGGCGAGCCTCCGTTGCCACCAGATTGGTGAAAAATGAAGTGTCCAACTCTGGCGCAATGTTTGGTAGTTCACAATTCTTTTTTTTTTGTTTTCCCGACCTAGTTGCGCAGGTCTCTTTGTCTGTTGAGTTTTAGGCCGCATGGGTGTTTTCTTTTTATGTGCATTTGAGTTGTTTGTAAATATCCTCTTCTGCCCTCCCCCATTTCTTATTTATTGATATTTTTTTTTTCACCGTTGATGGTTTTTGTGCGGTTGTTGGTAGCACTGTCCTTACATTTCCTCGAAGTTTTGTTGAACCGTGACGTCTCGCATTTTGCGGGTAACTGCCTTTGTTGTTCAATTGTCTTCCCCCTTTTTTTTTTTTTTGTTATAGGTGTTTTACTTTTGCTCCTGAGCTTTTAAGCCCTAAAGTAAAAACAAAAACAAAAAAAATCTTTTTTTTTCCTTTTGTTGCGTTACGAAGGTTGAGGGTTGCACTCCTAAAATTTAGTTCCGCGAGTTCTAGGGGCTTACAGTATTTGCCTGCTACTCCTATCGAGACGCGACATGACGATGCGTGAGTTTGTAGAGACAGTATATATGCCCACACCAGAATTGTACAGAGATGAGCGAAGTGCGTTCTGGGTGGTGGCTTTATTTTTTTCTCCCTCTCCGAGAATTACTGCAGCTTGTTGGTCATCTCGAGAAGCAACATTGTTGGTTATTTTGTAAAGCGGCACTACGTAGATGTATATAAATAATATATATATATTATATATATATTAGAGGCTGAAAGTGGGTCGAGCATTCTGGATGGCTCACCGGCACTTATTTCTCGCAGCGTCGTACTCCGCAGTCTCCCTAGCGCAAAAGATCCCCGCCTAAATTTGAAATTAGTCGACTGTTGTGGCCTCGGAGAGTTCGGTCCCTAGCGCGAGTACTACATCTTGCATAAAACCTTTAGCGTTAGCTTACCTTCCCCCATCTTCAGGCTCGAAAAAAACTAGGAAAAAAAAAGTTATATGCGTACCAATCTCGGAAATATTTTTTAGGCTTTTAGTGCGGACATCCCTTTGACCATCGTAAGGTAGCACTTGAGCGAGATAGACGAAGAGCGCAATTAAGTAGGGCGACAGACTTGAAAATCGCTGGCGATTGGCGTCGTAGATCGTGGGGTTGCGGTTCGGCCCGCATAGCAGTACGGCCTGCATTGCGGTTCGGCCTGCATTGCAGTACGGCCTGCATTGCAGTACGGCCTGCATTGCGGTTCGGCCTGCATTGCAGTACGGCCTGCATTGCAGTACGGCCTGCATTGCAGTACGGCCCGCATTGCAGTACGGCCCGCATTGCGGTTCGGCCTGCATTGCAGTACGGCCTGCATTGCAGTACGGCCTGCATTGCAGTACGGCCCGCATTGCAGTACGGCCCGCATGTCGTCATCGTCCCGTGGATGCCCACTTGCACCATAGTGGTGGCAGACCCGGGGCAGAGTAACTGGGTTCCCCTGCTTGCTTGTCTCGTCAAAGTGCGAGCCAGTCCTGAATGCTCTGTTATGCCTGTTTCCTTGGGGGCCTTTGATGTACTACCGCTCTCCCGACCTTGGCACGTCTCCTAGAGAGACGACCCGTAGACAAATCGGTGTCGCGAGCACTCGCAGCTGCTGCTGCACCATTCTCGCGAGAGGGACATATGCCTGTCCGTCGGTGCCTTTCGACTGTGTGTCTGGTGTGACATCTTTGACTGTGACTGTAGTCGTGCAACCTCTGAGCACCAGCGGGTGGTCGTGGCTCGGTTTTGGGCCGAGACGCCTTCTAGTGCCAGTCTGGGTTTGTGCGTTAAGTTCTGCTCCGTTTCATACTCCGTTCGACTACGATTCGGCAAGCGGCAGCAACTAGGACCCCGACGAGCCAGTCGGATCGTCGGAATCCACTCCTCTCGTGGAGGGCCGTCGTACGCTTCGCTCCGTCGTTCCTATCGGCTCGCTCGAAAGGGTCGTAGTGTTTGCTCTTTGCCGGGTTGTGCCGAAGCAAAGTGCAGAAATCTGCCGTTTGTTTCTGCATTTTTTTGTCTCTTAGGTGCTGGGTTTTGTGAAATGTATTGGCTCCTTAAACAGCCTCACCCAACCCTTTGTTTGGGTGGCAGAAATATTGTTGTTTCTCGAGTGGTGGCTTTGCGCTCGTAAAAAGTCCAGAACGGCACCCCACAAACGTTGCTCCAATTTCACTCTCGAGCTTCTCTTCGGTCCTTCGTCGGCTTCTTCGAAGCACTTCCCGCATGCAAAGCTACTTTGTGCTTGTATGGTTCTACGATTTTGTGCGTCCGGCAGTATTTGAGTGTTGGGCCTTTGGACGGGCCATCGGCGACCGTGATAGCGTTGTTGTGTTTTAGAGCTGTGATCCACAGAGCCATTCCACGGGTTGCGCCTTGGGGAGCGTCAGGAGACACGGGCAGTGCTGGCTTTGGGTTCTGCTTGCTGGTGGTCAGAGGTTGGGCGACTACCGCTTCCCTCGTGCTGTGGCGGTGTTGGTTCGCTGCTGCTACCGCGGCTGGAGGCGTGAGATAGAAATGCTCTGGCTGGGTACGCGCTCTTCGCCTTTGATAATCGACACAACTGCACGCACAGTTGCGGCTTTGTAAATAGAAGAAATGAGTGGAAAAAGAAAAAAAAATACTTCGAGGGAACTAGTCAAGTACAATAAAGTTTAGTACAATGGTTGCTTCGTAGTGTCTTCCTTTGCTGCACTGAAGCCGGTTGTTGCTCGGCAGATGCACTGGCAGATCTCGACATCCTAGATTGCACGTGTGGTAAGTATGACTAGCGTGCGTGATAAGCTTAAGCCACAGTCGTACTGCTTGTACTTCGTACAAAAGACGCGGTGTTCGCTGTAGCTAGCGTGCGTGATAAGCTTAAGCCACAGTCGTACTGCTTGTACTTCAAACAAAAGACGCGGTGTTCGCTGCAGATATGACAGAATTATTTGTGAACACTCAAGTATGTTCGAAACCTGTTTGCTTCAAACGTATGTGTGCTTCAAACCTATCTGCAAACAGCTTTTGTATGACCAATATGACGGGGACAGTCGTACAAGGAAGAAACGCGCCTCGAACGGTGTCTGCGGACTCTTGTTTGATGTATTACCAGTGTGACCAAAAGTCCTTGTGTCTCATTGTGACTTGACTTATCGGTACTGTCTGCATTCTAACTTCAGTTTGTGGCATGTAATTCATTCAAACCAGGGGCCCTAATCGCCACCTGCTGCAATTGGGTGGCTCCTCACCGCTGACTAATCCCAGCAGGTGGCGATGTCATGGTCATTTAGTCTCCTTGTAAGTAAGGGCCTTGGTGGTCTTGCTTCTGGCTCTCTGGGTTCCTGTAAAAGTAAGACGGAAAAGAAAATGGTTATTTACCTTTTCGGAAAGAAAAGCAAGGCATACACACCAGTGGTCTCTTCATTTGGATGTGTAATTTTTTTTTTTTTTTTTTTTTTACGAATTGTGTTGGAGACAGTGTTTTACGGAATTCACCATTTGCCAAAGGAAGAAGGTACCAGAAACATTTGCTTTCAAACCAATATTTCTGCAAGATTCATATCCAAAAGTGGGGTGAGTGCGCGTGCATAGGTTTAGTTTGCGCTGAAGCGGACGCTACCATACCTGTGGCTGTGACTGCATTGCCCCCTCCTCCCCTCCCCTCCTTTTGATAGCAACTCGCCGGAAGCAGGACGATCCGGAACTCCGTGGCTGATATATGCTGCAAAGATATCTACACCTTCAAAACTTTGCCGTGTCGACGATTCTCAACCGGCATCCAAACGTGCGAAGGCACAGGCGCAGCACTGCGCCATGCCGAGGACGCTTTCATCACGCCGCGAGATCAGCGAAACTTGCTTTTAACGAGTTGTGACTCTTTTCTGCGGCACAGAGCTTTCGGAAAAATTTTCTTGTGTTCACAACGGCAAGTATCGCCACTTACACAGGGGTTTTGAAAAAACAACTTCCCGGCGAAGGACGATGAACGAGTAGAAAACGTCTTTAGCACGCTGTCTCCGGCCTCTGCAACGTTAGCAAAAACGCGATTTCGCTACATGCAAGATGGCCGTCCGGTGGCCGCACTCGTGGCTGTGGAGATGCGCGATTCAGCAACTGTCATAGAAATGAGGGGGTTAGATCAGTGGAACTTATCAAGGGAAATTTTAATGATGCACAACTAACTGGCACAGCTGGGGACAGGCGGGATAGAGGAAAATTTGGACTCGCTCCTGCGTGGCTCCGACCCAAAGCAAATGCCCAAAGTCTCAACCCTGTCTCGCAGTGGGTCTGGTGTTGGAATAACGTTGACAAGGTTTGACCAGAGGAAAATCGGCGTCTCCCTCGATGGGGGGAAGAAGCGGGGAAGGTAGGGGGAGAAAATTAGCTTCAGGAGGGAATCATAGTTTGTCTTGTAAGACTTCGGCTGGGTGGCGCAAACTACCGCCCGTTACAAATGGTATAGTTATTAACATTTATCCATTCATAATAACTACACTTCAAAAATTTGTGAGGTATTCATGACCAGCTTTGTTTGTAATTTAAATAATTTTAAAGTGAAATATTGGTTAACATGTTTTAAAATAAGAAATGAGATAAAAGTACATTTCGCTAATTGTAGCGCAATTCAGAGAGCTGTAGCAGTCGGACGGCCAACCATAATCAAACAAACCAAAATGGCGGCGATGGCGGCGCCGACTTCTCTGGTTGCGAAGAAAAAGAAGCATTTTCTCGGAATACCCGCGCCCCTTGGATACGTGGCCGGTGTTGGAAGAGGGTAACTAACTTTTATTTTTTCTTAACCCAAACGATTTTACGTCAGAATGTTAAAGTTCAATTTTTGAGGGCGACGGCGAGTCGGTGAGCTGTGTTCGTTACTGATGCTGATGGGATTACTTCCAGAGCCACTGGTTTCACTACGCGATCTGATATCGGTCCTGCGAGGGATGCAAGTGACGTACCGTAAGTTCAAACGCTTCTGTATAAAGTATTCTACTGGTACCCAATTCAGAATTCATCTTTGTGTTCGAAGACTCGTTCGCCGTCATCTGCACTAGAAAACATGATATATTATGTACTGCAGTAGTGGTCTTTCTTTTGAGTTAGTTAGATAGACACGACTTGTAAGCAAGCTAGGCGACACAAGTTGGATGATCTTTGGGCTCCGGAGGATATTCAGATTGTAGTAACTACCCTAATACTCGCCGACTATCGAAGCGCCCAACCCTCCACTTTTTTAACATGTGGCTACGTCACTACAGGACTGGCGTCAAAATAGAATCTTCAAACATTTTTGTGAAAAACCTTGACAGACGACGACAAGGAAGAGAAGGAGAACGTCTCAAGCACAGCTAAACCTTTAAAAAAGTTGGCCTCTTATGTATGTTTATACAGCCTTGCTGTTGGTACGCCTCATTGGGTGACCAGTCGCTTAGCTGTAGATGAGAAATTTAGCCAGTGCAGTACAACCTGGGTTTTTAACGTGCGTCATGCAGTAGTGATTACACGAACGCGTGCCGGTACGAACTCGTCTAGATCGAAGCGGGCGGGGACGGTGGGGGAGGGGGGGGGGGGGTGGGGCGGGGCGGGGATCTAAACCTTTCTTGAGGACAGAACTTTTTACATAGGGTTGAAAAAAGAGGGAAGTTAAGCTTTGTCAAGCTTAACACAGAGCTCTGATAAAAAAAAGGCTCAACAAAGCACACCTTAGGGTCACTATGGGCTTTAGATATCAATGGTCGCAGCCATAAATGGCTTTTATGTTGAGACACATTAACAGATACCAAGGTCTGGTCGTTATCTGGCAGCAATATGGCAACCTAGGTCTATGTTAGGGTCAGTGCTGGTGAGGAACCTTGTTACAATCCAGGTTGCTGGCAAATGAGTTGTAGTTTTTTTCTCATCATTAGTAGACTCCATAAAATGCTGTATTCTAGGCATATGTGTTCCCGGCTTGTACACCAGCACATGGTTCTGATGCCGTGCCACTGCGGTGTTACCACTGTCGGCATAGCGCACACGCAAGCACCTCACTTCATGCGATCTAGTTACTGTGCATGTGCAGTGCTCGCATCTGGTGCATGAAAATGTGGACTTCTTTGTCACCAGCGTGTTGGTCGGTAATCTGAGCTGTTCTGGGTATTTCAGCGACGATCGTCACGCACCTCCAAATAAGCGTACGAAGAAGCAGAAGGAAGAAGAAGAGGATGATGAAGAAGACTTAAATGACTCGAACTATGACGAGGTAAGTCATCAATGTGCGTGCATCGTTCCCCCGCTTCGGCCAGTGTCCTGAGGTGTGGCGTGAATTGTGCAGTTTGCCGGCTACGGAGGAAGCCTGTTCAGTAAGGATCCCTACGACAAGGACGACGAGGAAGCAGACGCCATTTATGAGGCGATTGATCGCCGGATGGACGAAAAACGGAAGGACTACAGGTGGGGGAGCTTGCTACTGTTTGTTGGAGCCATGTTCATGGTGGCAACCAGCACAGAATGTACAGTCGGGGACAAAAGTCTCCAGGATGTGCGAGCTGCGACTGAAACGCATTGCTCTGCCATCTGCCGGCGGGTCGCCTGGTTTCGAGATCACAGAAAAGCGCATGCGCGTCCTACTGTGCCTGCCAACATGTGCGCTTTCCCGCGCTTCTGCGGTTCGGCGCCTAAGTCGGAATCGGGCGTGTGGTACCGCCTCGGAGATAGCGCTTACTGACATGGCACCTATAAAGCAAGAAGTCACGGCAGCTCAACTGAGCGATAAGCTGAACTGGTTATAAAGCAAGGTGCGCTGACATGGCGAAATGCGGCGCGATGCCGCGGGCGGTATCTCCAGTTTCGTAATGTGTAGCAGACGCTCGTCAGCCGCCAGCGCTATCTCTGAGGCGGTACCAAGCGCCCGATTCCGAGTTAGGTGCTGTGCCGCAAAAGAGCGGGAAAACACACATGTTTGCTGGCAGAGTAGGACGCGCATGCGCTATCGTGTGATCTCGAAACCAGGCGACCCGCCGGCAGATGGCAGAGCAATGCGTTTCAGCCGCAGCTTGCACGTCCTGGAGACTTTTGTCCCCGACTGTACATACTAGTAGGAGGCATGACTTCTAGCAGTGTTAAGAATTAAGCTTTATTTGGACTCATAAAGTCCAATTAAAGATTAAAAAGAAAAAAAGTTACGAGTGACCTTGGTCAGCAAGGAGGGACTTATTTGTGCTTTGGTTTTGAGGGACCATACTTTTATACTTTGTCTCGACTCTTGCACATAGCCGTCGAGGCTATGTGGAAGCATCTGACCTCATCCTTAGCATATTTTATTTATTTCCCTACACATGAACCAACTAGCCCTCCAAAAGGTGTTGCACATAGCCGTCCCTGTCCATTTAAGGAAAATATCTGGATCAAATAATCAAAGACACTTAGCAGATGACTTACTTGATCCTAGACTTTTTGAATATATAAGATACTAAGCAGTAGTAATTAGAGTTATTTCACGTGTTATTTTAGTTTGTTAAGGAAAGTTCTGTTTTAACCTATCAACCATACTTATTGTCTCTTCGAGATAAAAAAGAAACAAGTTTTGGATATAGTTTACATGTTGCACGAAGCTGTTATTACAAGATTTGGTTGTTGGAGAAAAATGGAATGCTTTTTGCATTTGGAAGGTGCATGTTTTGATAGAAGAACAAAAGCGATATGAAATATGCATACAAATATTTTAATTTGCCACATAAAAAGGGAAATTAGTGACGTCCTATGAGGAGTCTAACTTTCTTTACTGTGGTTCTTAAGGCGAAAATTTTTGTTATTCACCAAGAAAACACCAAATTTAAATTAAAGAAAAGTGTATGGGAACAAGTTTTTAGAACCCTACCTGATATGTGTCGGTCCTAAGACTTGTCTTTTGAAGGTTATTCTCCCCAGCCACTCGGAGGTCTTTAAAGAGACTCCCTTGTCTGGTTTTCTGCATGACATGGATTGTGTTTGTTCTTGCTGTTTTCTAGTCGGGCTTTGTTTTCACGCGTAAAAGTAACTCTTCATTTCTTCAGGGAGATGAAGCTTCGCCGAGAGCTGGAACGGTATCGTCAAGAACGACCCAAGATTCAGCAGCAGTTCTCTGACCTGAAGGTAGGCTTCTCTCTTGTTTGGCTCACATTGTCATCCAAAGGAATCAAACCTCTCTATCGGTTTAACCGGGGTGACGCCCACCTGCGTGTGAATGCAGCGGGACCTGTCGCAAGTCACGGAGGACGACTGGAAAGCCATCCCAGAAGTCGGGGATGCCCGGAACAAGCGACAGAGGAACCCACGCCCCGAAAAGTGAGTGGATGGTCTATGCTGCTCTTTCGGAGTTTGCCCTAAATAAAATGACTAAAATACATGCATTTTTTTCTATGGCATTAATTTTTATGTTTTATCGGGTATCCCATTCAAAAGAACAAATCAAAGTTGTTGTCTACCTGCAGTTACTTTGACAAAGCAACAAAAGGAGGTATAAAAAACTCGGTGAAGCAATTATCTTTGGCACTTCAAAATGGCAGCTGGCATATCTCTAGGAGATTATCAGCCCCAATAGAGTGATCTGCTTTAATTTTGGGCGCATCGCATGAGGTGTTCTTTAGTTGCAAAGGTTTCGGTTATGGGGGCCGTTCCTTAATTTCTCGCCAGAAATGGACGAGCCATTGGGAGAAAAAAGCAGACAATATTGAAGCAAAGTTGGACCATCAAAGAATGCAGTGTCAAACACTGACGAGGTTATCTCTTCGCTACCTGGGTTGTGACATCCGTCGAATAACTACATGTCATTTTCCGCGGTCTTTGGGAACACGATACAACAAAATCGCCTTGTTTGCAGATTCACTCCAATGCCGGATTCCATCCTGGCCAAGGCCGGGATCGGGTCCGAGTCGGTGACAACTCTCGACCCCCGACAACAGGTGGGCTCCCTTTCATCGGTCAACATTTGGAATCAGCTCACTCATGACGAGATCACCAAATCTGCGGCCCATCAAATTCACTCGCACTGTTGTTGTGTTGGACCCCTCACTCATTGCGTCATGCAATTCGGCCGCATTAAGATCTTCTTCCGGTGACATCACTGCCGACTCCGCAATAATGAAATCGCCCACTAACTCTTCGTAAGCTCATCCGAGTTCACAAAGTTATTCTGACTCAATCACAATCGCATGACAAACATGGTTGAACGAGTTCAGGAGTGCGTTATTCTAGCTATAAGACCCATTCACACACTCACGTTTGCTTATGATCGTGTTCTTGCAATTTCTTCCAACGAGAGCACAGTTGCACGTTTAATGAAACTGCATTTCATTAAAGCGTAGGTTTTGCGGAATTTGCAAGATCGAATGTATGTGCCATCTACGAGAAAGGGTCGTTCATAACATTATCAAAAGAGTTTTCAAACAAAGAAAAAAAAAATGATGTGCAAAAAAATAAAAATAGAGGAATATATGGGACTGCTAAGTTTCCCGCGACTCTTCAATAGATTGCGCCAGTGCATTCTCTCGTCGAAAGAAATCCCAAGACGTTTCAAGGCACTTAGCCGTAAGCAGTCGCAAAAAATGCGAACCAGTCTCTTTCACGGTCCGGTAACTCACATCTGATTGGTTCTCAATTGCTCGGATCAGGCGTACGGATCGGGCCTGACGACCCCGTTTCCCGGCACGGCCACTCCGGGCTGGGCCACGCCGTCGGCCGACCTGGACCTGCGCAAGATCGGCCAGGCCCGCAACACCCTGATGGACATAAAGCTGAACCAGGTCTCGGACTCCGTGAGCGGTCAGACGGTGGTGGACCCCAAGGGCTACCTGACGGACTTGCAGTCCATGATCCCCAGCCACGGGGCGGACATCAGGTGGGCGCTCGGCTCGACCAGACTCTTTGGCTCGGCTGCGACTCGGCCGAATGGATGCGTTGTCCCTGTAACTGTCGAGGCCGGTTCGCACACTTGCGACTGCTTACAACCGGAGTGGCTTAAAGACCGGTTGAAGTCTCTTGTGACTGCTTATGATCGGCTGCATTGCTGCGCAGCCAGTTGCAAGTGGTCGCAAGAGGCTTAAAAACCGGTTGTCTTGCAGTTGGTTGTAGCGAAACGCAAGTGTGTGAACCAGCCCCGAAGGTTTGGAGATGGCGGTACTTGGAGACTTTTTTGTAAAGCATATTGTCCTCATTGTGCTTGAATTTGAACTGAAGAAGTTTTTTTGCCAAGTCTTTTTATAGGTCTAATTTGATCTGTGCCCCAAGGATACTGGAACTGCAGAAATTGTTAGTGCTGCCCCCTTTGATATAGAAAATGTGTTTAAAGTCTGACATCTGATGAGAGCATTGCTTACATGGGCTATCCTTTGCCTAAAAACACATTACAGAAGCTTAATTTTTTTTTTTTCGTCGTCTATTTTTTTACACAAGGTAAAACAAAAACTGACTCTTAGGAGTAATTTTGTGGTTTTGGTATGTAAACCTTGGGCTTGATACTGCAAAATTAAAATGCTCTCATTTTCATTTTGTATGCAAAAGCAGATAGCTAGAGCAGATAGTAGATCAGTTTGAGCAAGAGTAGATAGCTTTTGACTCACTGCGACCGGGGTTTTAGTTTGCTCGCTCTTTTTTTATATTTCAGTGACATCAAGAAGGCTCGCCTGCTTCTGAAGTCCGTGAGGGAGACTAACCCCAACCACCCTCCAGGTGAGAGTTTAGGGTGCTTCTGTAAACTTCTGAAAGAACCGTGGTTCTCCTTTTGTTTCTGTTGATCCAGCTTCTGTGTTAATACAGTAATTGACTTCAAAAGCCGAGTTCAGCAGGCTTTTTCGTTCCTCAAAGACTAGCGAAACAACCTAACTAATGGTCTCACTCCGCGGTTAACGATCCATGTTCCTGTCCGTTTACAGCCTGGATTGCGTCGGCTCGTCTGGAAGAGGTCACTGGGAAGATTCAGACAGCCAGGAATCTGATCATGAAGGGCGGAGAAATGTGCCCAAACTCCGAAGACATCTGGCTCGAGGCATCGCGACTTCAGGTCTGCTTATTGGCTCTTTCGTCAGATGGATCTTGATCAACGTTACTATAGATCAACTTATTTACAGAACGGCCCATAGATGCTGTTTCCACGAGCATTACCTCTCTTCTCCCCCAAAGGTTCACCTCTGTTGTTCGACGCGCCAACATTTTGGTGACTACTGCTATGGTAACTACAGAGTACTCTGTAGAATACGCAGGTGTTGAAGCACAGCGTCCAGAGGGCGCTTTAAACGAAAATTTTCAGGGGGAGAAAGGGGAGGTGTTGGCCCCTTCATTGGAGATCCTCAACTGAGTTGACCTAGTGATTTGATATTGTCCACTTACAAGTGTAAACTAAACAAATCGGCCCCAAACTCTGGATCCATCCATATGTGTGTAGTAGCTATTGTCATGCACATGCCTTCATGCACATGCCTTCATGCACATGCCACGTCCTTGAGGTCCTAGACCTCTAGGCCGACCTTACTTGTCTCATTACGCGAAAAAGTGGTATCGTTTTGCCGGAAAGATGGCTCAAGTGCAGAAGCGTAATGTCACCGCTGGAGCGCCCTGTACAAAACTTGCACTTCGGACTTCATCTGTGCTTGTTGTGTGCTTCGTGCGATAGACCGTTTGGCAGCCGCGTCTACATCTACGGCCTCGACATTGGCAGCTGTGTCTACATCTACGGTGACTTCAGCAGGCAGACGTGGCCGCCCACACAAATAGGCCACAGCTTCCTTAAGTATCCTCCTCTAGGCGTCGTTCTCAAAATCGTCCTTGAGGTCGTCCTGGAAATCGTTCTTGACGTCGTCCTCTAGGACGTCATCCTCGACGACGTTCCTTAAAATCGTCCGAGAGATAGTCCTCGACATCATCCTATACGTTGTCCTAAACTTTAATATGTGTAGAAACATTACTCGAAAACATTTCTCCCGCAGGACTACCGTATTCGCTCGCATAATGAACGCACCCCCCACAACGGGCATCAATGTTTTGACTTTGTTTTCCCCCCTCGCGTAATGAACGCACATCCAATTTTCAGCTCCGCTAGTCTTAAACTGTGTCTAACTCAGCTAGCAACCGTGGCCACCAAGCCAATTTTCTTTTGCCACCAAGCGGCCAGGCCACGTCACGCCAAGCCAAGCATAGAAATACATGCTCTTATGGCTGCAAGTGCGTAGTTGCGGAAGTAATCAACAGTCAAGCCGAGCGGCGCGCACATTTAATGAAGCTGGGGTCGAGGAATAGCCCAATACCGGATATGTTTTCTCCATAGGATGCATTTATGTCAACAAACACGTTATCGTCTGTGGTCCGCTTTCGGATAGTGAAATCATAAAAGTGGTTAGGCTTAAGAATGGTCGTGTCACTCTCCATGCTGAGTGAGCTTTATAGGGCGCTTTTTCTTCTACAAAAAGCATGCCGAAAGCGCCCTAAAAAAGGTTTGCACTTCATAGAGCATGGTAACTATGCTGCGCCCCAACCAGCCGTGGGTGCGCCTCCATCAGTGGAAACGTGCCACAGTACCCTGCCGTGTCATATTGGCACCTAAAATGACATTTGCTCAAAGTGTGTAAATGCAGAAATGTTACCCCGCATAATGAACGCAAACATCCAAATATGTGTAAATTTCTCGGGAAAACAAATGCGTTCATTATAGGAACCGTGCGCATCTAATTCAAGCCCCGACCAGGGCGCCCCTAGCGGCAAACGGGTCCATCGCATCGGGGAGCTTCTGCCAGTCGCTGCGTTGGTTGTGCCCTGTAGTGGGTTAGCGTTGTAATTTCTGAGATGGCTATTCCGCACCAAGAAAGCCGCAACAATTGCTGCGTGGTCGGCTGCAACAGTACAGTTGCAACGGAAAAAGAGTAGCACAAGTGACCGACGACCGGAGCGGCAAAATCGCGACACGCGGCGCTGTTGGTCCCGAGCGAGAGGGCCATTCACGTTCCATATCTTAACGCGGGGGTGGACGGCAGAAAGCACCCCATCCTACAGCCCGCATTTCGAAAGCTATCTTACCCTCGATTTCCTGCCGGCCATCCCCGCGGTGAGATATGGACCGTGACTGGCACTCTCGCTATCGGCGCACTAGGGAACAATAACGCCGCGTGTTGCGATTTTGCAGTCCTGTTCATCGGTCACTTGTGCTACTGTTTTTCCGTTGCAGCTGTACGTCGAAGATCGCATACGGCACGAAGTACTACATCGTCCCTTCGAGGCCGTACGAGGCAGAGTACTGCGCGACCAGGCTGCAGGTGCGACTTGTGCGTCCATACAGGTTAGTGGCGTTTCTTACCTTTCTGTTCGCGCTTTGTTTAAGCTGCTGACGAACAATACAATTAACTTTTTTCTATTCTAGCGACGATGGAACAGCATCGACACCGACGGCAAACTCTAAAGTGTGCGGCAAATACTTCACCGGAATCGAGAAGCGGAGTGCGGTCGCCCACCTAAGCCTACACTTGGATGTTTCCATCAGTCTACAGGAAGATAGTAGTGGGAATCGCGGAACGGCGCGAAAAAAATCGCCCAGTTATTGTCAAGCTGATTCAGAAATAAACGTACATAATTACCATGGTCCACTCAACGCCAACTACATTTTTTTGCGGGCACGCTTAATTTTGTTAGCAGAGTACGGCGCTCCGTGACATCCACTTGTCCGTCGAAACGGACCTCCTTCACGTCGTACACGCGGTCAGGTTCACGAAGGAGTATCTCTTCTTTATATTGGTACCACGGAAGAAGCTTTCTAGATTCGTAACCGCCTTAAATCCCGTCGTAATCACCCCGGGAACACTGTCCGCTGTGCGGCTCATCGCCATTGCTTCCCCCCGATGATCCTGCACCGGTTACCGAAGAAGTTTTCCGGATTCCTAATCGCCCTCTGTCCTCTGTGGTGTTCGTTGCTATTACTTCCCGATGATTCTGCGCCGACGGCACCGGCTACAGAAGGAACTTTCCGAATTCGTAACTGCCTTAAATTCCTTCGTAATCACGACGGGGACACTCTGCCGTGCTGTTCGTCGCCATTGCTCCCCGATGCTCCTGCGGCGGCTACCGCTAGGTCGCGGCGAACAATAGGCGACCGCCGCGACACGGCCGGCGTGCTCGCTTCCTATGGGAGTAAATACGGTAAACTGCTTTCGCCTTCCTACACATAAGCAGTTTTGAGTGTCCTCCTGTAACTTTTTTTGCTTTGACATTCTGCATCTGGTGCGTAGTGCGCACGCCGTGCAGAGTCCGCACCTGGTGCTTAGTCGACACGAGAATCTTCTCTTACGCGACGCACCTTAACAGATGTCTGCTTTCTTAGCTCACAAAGAAGCTTGTACAGTCTAAACTCGTTACAACAGACCCGGTTACAACAGACATTTGGATATAACATACCGATTTGTGAAGTTCAGTTGGTTTTCCTCTATGTATGATTGACTGAACTTCATATCTGCATACAACATACTCCTTTTACAATGGGCAGAAATCTAAATCTTGGTCAAAATCAAGGTCTATTATAACGAGATTCGACTGTATTCTCCATAAATCATCATGAACAAACTCTTTCATTCACAAAATCCATCACGTCTCGTGATAATGAACGATCTTGAACAACAAAATTCCTGTATAGTCTGCACGCATAGATAGTCTGCACAGCTTAAAATTTAAACTTTTAAACATGTATAGTCTGCGGACTATAGCCCGGCTATACGGTACTTGTAACTCGAGTCGCTCCATGTTTTGTGGTTACAGATGGAAGTCATGTACCCAGTGTGACTTACATGTCTGCATTGTTTGAGGTATCTAGTCGCTTATCGGCCCATTTCTCCAACAGCCAACAGATCTTGCCAAGGCGGTGATCGCGCAGGCCGTGCGGCAAATTCCCAATTCGGTCCGCCTGTGGATCAAGGCGTCCGAACTCGAAGGGGAGCTCAAGGCCAAGAAGAGAGTCTTCCGCAAGGTACCGTAGCAGACGCTCGCTTCCCTTGCGCTTTTCTGCTTCGTGAATCGGTTGTGGTAGTCATTGTTAATCCTCGCAGGCCCTCGAAACCATCCCCAACTCCGTGCGACTGTGGAAAGCAGCAGTGGAGCTGGAAGAGCCGGAGGACGCCCGAATATTGCTGAGTCGTGCTGTGGAGTGTTGCCCGACCAGCGTGGAGCTCTGGCTGGCGCTGGCGCGGCTTGAGAACTACGACAATGCCCGCAAGGTACCCGCTGCCTTTTTTTAATTTTTTTATAATTACTACCTTGAAATACCGGGCAAGCACCCACTCAAAATTTAGAGATAATCGTGGAAAAATGGGGGATGGGCACTTGTCCGGTCATCAATTTTACATATCAATGTACCATGCATATTTTCTCAGATCTTACAAATTTGAGAATGGGCGGATGCACAGTATTCTACATAAACATATAAAATAGCACGAAAAAGACGAGGACAAGAAGTATACAGGACAAGCGCTAACTTCTATTGTACTTCATAGTAATGAGTTTCAGTTTTTGAATGATCGTGTACAAAATTAGTCAACTTTTATGTGGTGCTGCTTTGCCTGTCGTGTGTATATATGTGTTTACTTTTCCTGAATAAAACTAGTTGAAAGTTAGCGCTTGTCCTGTATACTTCTTGTCCTTGTCTTTTTTGCGCTATTTTATATGTAACTAAGATGAACCAACTAGCCTAACTATGTACCCTACTAAACGGTATTCTACGGTAGTTAGACAGTCTGCATTCTTTGTTTTCTTCACAAGGTGGTCTCTAAATTGTAGTGACCAGACTAAAAGAAAGATGATGATGGTCACGCGTCGCACGAGCTCTAGCGCTGGATCATTGGCAGATACTTTAAACAACTTAAATTTTGCGAATCGCCTACAATTCGCAAAAAATATGCCTCGCGACAAATTCCGGTAAAATGTAAACACATTGGAATCTATATTGAGATCCCACCGTGTCGCGAAAATTAAAACCCGCAAATTATTCCAAAACTTCAGCTTTGACCTAAATCACGAAATATCGAGCCCGCGAAAAATAAGTTGTCTTCAGTAATTTTGACCGAAGTGGTTTTAAACAGTGGGAATCAAACAATATATAGTGCGCCTCCGCACATTATTTTATATTACAAGATCAATCGGCATTTTGTTGCCTTGCAGAGCCTTTCCTACCTTTTTTTAATGCGAAAGCATTAACCGTTCCATGGAGCGAACCGGTGTTATCGGCTTTTGAAGCCGCGCCAAACGGCACCTAAATTCCCTTGTCCCATGGAGTGAAGTCTATCACAGCAAATTGATGTATAGACTCCCATTGGCTGGTGCATGGCATAGCTCCAAGGAACGCCACCCCACTGCCATGGTGCAGCGGGGTGGTGTTGTTGCCTGCGTGGGCAGCATCTGCACAGGTCACCCAGCCAGACCCAGCGCGGCACGCAGCTTGAAGGAATACGCTACTTATACGAATGCTTTCGCATTCCGACATGTTAGCAGTCTTAAGTGTCATTGTAGTTTTTTTGTCTTCATGGGTGTCGTCAATCCTCACTTCATTGTGGCTAAACACGTCGCGTCGCACCTCTCGCTCGTTCTCCAAACTTTCCGTGGCTACCAGGTGCTGAACAAGGCGCGCGAGAATATCCCCACGGACCGACAGATCTGGATCACGGCCGCCAAGCTGGAAGAGGCCAACAACAACGCCCACATGGTGGAGAAGATCATCGACAGAGGTACGTGGGCTGAGCATGCGAAAGTTAGCCCGTCGAAATAGATGGCCGGGGGGGTGTCTGCCAACCCGGAAAACCTGCAGTTGTTCGGGAATTTCGGAGGACCTGGAAAAGTTGGAGAATTTGAGGGGAGCGATTCAGTAGACATTTGGTAGGTGCCCCCGGGATGGAAGTGAGCGTGCGGGTGTGTCGCTTGCAGCCATCACTTCGTTGCGGGCGAATGGGGTGGAAATCAACCGGGAGCAGTGGCTGAAGGATGCCGTGGAGTGCGAGAAGTCCCAGTCCATCCTCACCTGCCAGGGCATCATCCGCACAGTCGTGGGCATTGGCGTCGAGGACGAGGACCGGAAGCACGCCTGGATGGAGGATGCGGAGGCGGTGCGTGTGCTTGGGCTTTGCGACTTTCTTTTGTGCTAAACTCGGTATCTATAGGGGGAACTAGGGATTTGGTGCCCGTGGTTTCCGATCAGTGTCGGAGACATCAACACCGGTACTTCATTATTTGCGGTAGACGCGGACACTTACTGTCGGCCAGTATACAGTAAATCTTCACTGGAGCGAACTTCAGGGGACACAAAAACATAGTTCACTTATTTGAAAGTTCACTAAACTGAACATATTCACTAGAATATGGAACAGCATAGGGCACAGCATACATCGAGCAAAAGTGTGAAACGCAATTTAGGGAGCCATGCTCATCGATATATGCAAAGTGCATAACAGTTACTCTGCTGCCCTCCTCATTTCGAAAAAAAATCCAATTTTCATTTTGTACCAGCACTCTTGAAGCGCGTGAAGTAACAAAGCTGTCTGGAGAGTCTGTTTCTTTTTGCACTTCCTCTGGCCCTGCTGGTTGCTGTGACGAAGCCATACTGCAACGGCATCGTCCACTGGCTCGAAATATCCCATGCAGAGTCGTTTCCTGTTGGGAATGACGCAGTTTCTCCTTTAAGCTTCTACTTTTGCTTCACTATCGTTGACAACGTTGACGGTGAAATCCCATAGTCATTCGCAACGTCCACTTGCCTTTGACCGTCGTCCAGACACTGAAGGAGTTTGAGCTTGTCTGATATAGACAACCGCTTCCGTTTCGTTGTACTCATTATGAAAGTGGGCACACAAACTGCTGTCCTGCCGTTGTTACCTAAAACTAAGATGTCCAAACGGAACCGATGACAAAGAAAAAACAGACACACCATGTAGTTTGTTTTCGTCTACCGCACCGCTGCTTTGCCTCGGCGGCGCTGTAAACGCCAGCGAAGATACGCCGCCGCTGCAGAGATGACGGCGGCGGGTCAGCGGGCGTCGGCTATTCCAGCACTGCAGAGCGCAAAACTTTGTTGAACTGATTGCAAAAATAATTCTGGGTCCACCGATCAAGTTCATTGAATTGAAATATTCGTTAAACCGATGTTCGCTCAAGTGAGAGTTTACTCTAGTTCCCGTGTCGTATTGCGGAGAGCAGTAATGATAGACTGTGCCGTCCAAATGTTTGGAAAATGGCTCACATTTGCAGTGATCGTGCGAGGCAAAGACTGCGTAAAGTAGGCTAAACTGAAAGCAGGAAATAAAGAGCTTTCTGAAAGATAAAAACTGGAGAATGTGTGGCATCATCGTACCAAACTTTCCTTTAGAAATTTTCTTTCTTCATTTTGTCTCATAGGGTTCAGTGAAGGTTGAGGAGGCCTGTCGTGAATATGGCAAATGAGTTGTCAGGATGCCAACACCGAGCTAAATTACACTTGTGTCGAAATGTGGAATGGCCGATTGGTTTGCTTTTTGTTCCATGCAGGTTTCTGAAACTTTTGGTTGTAGAGAGCCGCTCTGTTTCATGTGGCCCATCTTGAACACCGATGCCTGTCTGTGTGTTGCGGTGCAGGTGGCAGCCCAAGGGGCGCAGGAGTGCGCCAGGGCCATCTACGCCCATGCCCTGTCCGTGTTCCCCAGCAAGAAGAGCATTTGGCTGAGGGCAGCCTACTTCGAAAAGAGCAGCGGCACCAGGTCAGTGAAGACGCTCGCCCCTTTTCCTCGGGAGCTCTGCGCTTTGTCTCACCCTACGAGGAACTGTGACGAAGCAAAAGCTGCAAGGTCCAGTCATGGGCCAGTTAGAAACTGTGTGGTGTATCGCTCCAATGTGCATGTCAGTGCACATATCCCTGAGAGCACAAGATGTCTGCGCCCAGGCTGTGTGACTTAGACACCAGGCTCTTTTACGCTGGTAAACTTGTCATTTCATTGACCGTGCATTTAATGAAGGTTACTCGGCGAAAACCTAAGATTTAAAAGCGTTGCGAATGGGAGAACCTTATATAGTGTCATTGCCGCAGTGGGGTCCCTTCTGGGTGGCAATTGCTCATGCCATTGGCTGGCATAAGCGATCGTCTGACCATAGCGCAACCAATGGCATTCGTTGCAGTGCGAGTCTCGGTACACAAACAATTGCATCGAGATTGAGCGGCCGAAAAACTTTTACATATGACAATTTTGTCAGGTATAACCAAAGTATTGCAGTGAATTTTTCCCTACATTACGCCCGGCAAACTAACCAAGATGAACGCCGTAGCAGCAAATTTGCATCGATAGGTTGCATGTTTCTGTGCGAGTCGCTGCTTGCTGTAACCGTGGCGCTCTGGTGCTGCAGGGAGACGCTCGAAGCCCTTCTGCAGAGGGCCGTGGCTCACTGCCCCAAGGCGGAGGTCCTCTGGCTCATGGGGGCCAAATCCAAGTGGATGGCCGTGAGTACTGCATTTCCTGATGTTGGGCACTCGTCCCACTGCTGGTCTGCAGCGCGTGGTACGGCACACTTTTAGCAAGCTGGTCCCATGGGAGGAATGGTCGACAAGTATCGCTTGTGAGCCTTGCCGGCAGCCCTCGAGCTTTGCCGACCAGCGACGTACCGTTGGCGTGTTTGTGGATGGGCGCTACTGTTGAAGACTGACCAAATTGCCGTAATGCTGATCTTGCAGCAGAGACTGTCTTTGGATCTCTGCGTTGCCTAGCAGGACTTTGCCGGGACGGCTCAGTTTGTAAGAAGCTGCGGGATGACGGATATAAATGTTTTGCGAGCAATCCCATTTTTGTAAAACTGCTCGGTTTGTTGAAATGTCAGTCCGGTCAAAAGAGACTCGCTGGTCTAGAAACAATTTTGGCGAAACGGCTTTCTCTGCTTGAAGTTGGGATGACTGTAGAGGCAACATGTAATCAGGTGTGGCAGGTCACCTTTGTTCAACTTTGAACTGAAAATGGGGACAGTTGGTGAGCCAAAACCAGTGGCACATGATAGGTAGGAGGTGCAGCTAAACAAGAGTAGAAAGGTTTTTTTTTTCTATACTTACATTGTCAGACATGACAAAGTAACGAAAATGAATTACATCACAAAGTTACAAAATATAAAAAAATTTTATGATAAGTTACATTATGAAGTTATGAAACTACAGGCTACAGTGTAGACCACATATAACGTATGTGGCGGGAGTCGCGAAAATCCGCACTATGAGCGGTACCGCACTATAACCAAAACATAAATTTTTCAGGCCATCAGACAACTTACCTTTGTAAAACAATTTATTTTATGTTAGATGAAAAATGAAGCTTAGTTTGAGGAAAGTCTTTATTTCACCAGACTAGTACACTTCTCTCTCAAGTGTGTCACACATTTTGAAAGAAATGAGCGACTTTTGCCTGGCACAGCCTTTTATTGGCGTCGCGGGTTGCGAACGGACGTTGCGAGCGTTCAGGATTGCTAACCCTAATCACTTTTCTCCAGTGATAAAAACGCGTGAAAATTTGCATCCCTTCTACGGTATGTGCCAGTAATACCTTCAACTTGAGCACAGGCATGAAATGCTCCAAATAAGAAATCCGGGCGATGTTCGAGAACACAAATGCTTAAAAAGCACCACTGTAGTCGAAGTAAACAAACACAACGACACGGGCGTTTCTGCCGTCTTGAGAGTGCCGCCGACATCGCCGCACGAATAGGTGGATCTTTCCTACTAGTACGTGCTGGGTTATCATAGCGACACACAGCGAAAATTCACAGTCAAGGATAGCGCTTTTACGGGGAACGACGAGCGTCCACCACACCGTGTACGTCGACGATCACAACCGACGCCATGTTTGCGGATAGAAGCAGCCGGCCCGCGGCCGGCATGCAACGCGCGCGAACACTTCTCCTCGACCTGCGATTGGTCTGTTGTTGCAGTTGTTTCCAACGCACAGAGCGGAGGGACGCACAGCACGCACGTGAACGACACATGCGTGCGTCCCTCCGTCGCTATGGCAACTGAAGCCTCTCTCTTCGCTTCTCCCAGCTTCTTCGAGCAACCTCCTTGCCCCGCGAGTGCCACTTGCGGCTAGCGCTGTTATCTAGTGTCGCACAGGGAAGCGTGCTCGCTGTGTTGGTCGGTCGGCGCGGTCGGCGGGCTGCTCCAGAAACCGCACTATAACCGGTATTTCCCTTCGCGCGCCTGCATTTTATGCAGTATGTAATTACATGGAGTTCTATGGGAGGCGAACCGGTGGTTTAAAAAAGCCGCGTTATACCCGGTCCTGCACTATAAGTGGTTACGTTGTAAGTGGTCTATATACTGTATTTTATGATAAATTACACTATGAAGTTACAAAAGTAAAGGCAGTTCTACTGACGAAGCCCGGTTGTGGTCCTGCCACTGTGAAACCAAGATTTCAGATGTTCTCCGAGAAATCCCCACTGGTCAAAATAATGCGCGGTCCTTTTGTGGAATGTTTCCTGCAGATTTCCGGTTGACCCGGGATCCCAACATGTTCCGCATGTTTCTTTTTGGTTTAAACGAGACTGCCTTACTGGCTCAAATTGTCGTTTTACCCAGGGGGGACGGGGAGGTTGGAAGGTGAAAACGGGAGCAGAACGTGACAAATCTTAAGCGTTGACATTGGTGGTCCCGAGAGAAAGAGAGTGACGGAAAGGCGGAGAAAGAAGGTGGGCGATAGGTAGGTCAGGCACATTCATTTTGCCGCGAGAAGTTTAAACTTCGAGTCCTTGTCAACTCTTTTTTTTTATATGATGCGGTACGCCGGTGTCTTTGTGCCAAATAAAGCTAGAAAAACCCTAAAAACAGACCTTGCACAAGGTGTCTTCCTGCTTCTTTGTGCATATCAAAGCATTTCCAGCAATGCAGAGCGCAAGGTCGTGTGCTTCTTACACAGGGGCTGCAACGATGTCGGAACGTTGAGCTCTTATTGGCTGATTGAAAAAAATAGTGGGTAGACCTCGAGGCATCTAGCATTAAGTTCTAGCCACTATCCTGTCAGTCGGAGCTTGGAGTCATTCTGACGTCACCACAACATCTACACAAGAAGCAGACGACCTTGCTCTTCGCATATGTTCCCATTAGAACCACCGATGTCCGCGTCAGTGTCCCGCCGTTCTGAAGTGGCAAAAACGCGTGGGGCCTTTTCCTCTAGATCATTATATTAACTCTACGATCTCACCGCCTTTGCCGACACTCTTGGTCCGACCCAGGGCGACATCCCGGCTGCCCGGAGCATCCTGTCGCTGGCCTTCCAGGCCAACCCAAACAGCGAGGAAATCTGGCTGGCTGCCGTCAAACTGGAGAGCGAGAACAACGAGTTTGAGCGTGCTCGCCGCCTGCTTGCTAAGGCCCGCTCCAGCGCCCCCACCGCCAGGGTGAGCGCCCTTCCCCTCGTCACACGACTCGCTCGTCCGAGCTGCGGTCGCGTGCCCCGGCTCGGTCGTGACGTCTCGTAGAAAAATACGTTGGTGACGAACTGGTGTAGATTTACCACTTTCTTTAAACCACTTGGGAGTGGGTGAGGAACGAGAAAAATCCATTGTGAAAGGGAAAGGATCAAAGCGACAAGGTATTCAATGTTTTGTTGAGAAGTAATTTCAAACGAGATATACAGTCTAATCTCATTATAACAGATCTGGTTACAACAGACATTTGGATATAACATACCGATTTGTGAAGTATGATTGGTTTTCCTCTACATACTATTGACTCAACTTCATATCTGCATACAACATACTCATTTTACAACAGACCAAAATCTTGGTCAAAATCAAGGTCTGTTATAACGAGCGTAGACTGTATGTTAACAATACACATGCACAAGGTTTAGCAACTCCAGTTTCTGATATTCAGCGAATGACAACCAATCTTTACAGCTCTTCCGTTCCAACGTCGACGTCGTCGTCGGTGGCGCTTTCCCTCGCGACACAACACCAGTGCAATTGTCCTGGTGGTTTAAGCTGGTTTAAGAAAATGGTGTTCTAGAAAGTGTGCTTGGAAACACCTGTACTGTCATGCAGTGGCGTTATTAGGCGGAGGGAGGGAGGGAGGGGTGTCGCGGCGGGCCTTTGCCTTGGGTGCCGCTGACCCTAGTGATGCCTCTTTTGTCATGTAAATAAGTTTTAGGCAGTCGATGCTGTTGTAATTTGTAAACCGAATTTTTTTTTTTTACAATATTTTGGAATTTGTTTTAAAACACGGTGCTAAAGCACCGTGCAAAAGTGGAAAACAATTTTTTTTTTTTTTTTGTGAACTATGACTCTTTATAACCGTAGTGAATTTTGAGGTAATTTGTTCTTTGGTTTCATACTGTTGTGTATTAGTGGGACCCTGCAAACACGAAATAATTTTTGTAACCGCAACCATTCTTTGTTTTCTCGAGATATTGAACCGTCACATTTACAGAATTGTTTGCACAACCATAGGATTGTGTGGGCGGGGCTCTAGAGGAATGGGCATACTATGAGTACTTGTGTGGGCCCCTCCTGCTTTGTCATTAATTCAAAATATTTTGGCTAGCAGTTGCGAAAGAGTTGTTGTCCTTGCACCCAGGTGATGATGAAGTCTGTGCGTCTGGAGTGGGCCCTGGGAGACCTGCGTATGGCCTCGGAGCTTCTGGAGGAGGGCCTGAAGCTGTACGCCGACTTCCCCAAGCTGTGGATGATGAAGGGGCAGATCCTGCAGAGCCAGGGACAGACCGACGAGGCCAGGGCCACCTACAACCAGGGGGTAAAGAGGGAGGCACCGCACGAGGGCAGATTCACTCGCGTCAGAACCGAGTCGCAATGCAAGAAGCAGACGCAGCCTGTCCGCTCAACCTTCCCCATCCTTTCCTTTTTCCTTCCCTCGTTACTTACCGCATTGTTGTTTAAGACCTCCGTAAATACTGATTAAGCTGACTCTACTCAGCTGAGGGATGATCCTTGTTTTGGATTGTTTGGTTGTTGTTTGATCGGGAGGGAGATCGGGTATTTGGAGAGGGAAGAGAAAGTGTCGTCCTCATAAATGCTTTTTTTTTTGTATAACAACCGATTCCCGTTTTATGATTCGTGAGCATGAGGTGTTAATCCCAGAGCGCTAGCCAGCCAAAGTGGAAAAATTGCTTCGCGGTCCCTTTAGCATTCTTTATTTTTGTTGCTTAACTTTTGACTCTGGTGCCGACGCACGCCGAACCTTTCAAATCTCCTCACCCCTGCTAACGTCAACTTTGGGGCAGAGCTCTCTGTTTCCGTGAAGCGTACTTGGCGTCGACTTCTTTTCACGGCGTTGTTGAGGCTAATGTAGTTTCTACAGCATTCCAAAAAAAATTGACAGCACTTAATGTGTGCTGTTTTGATCTATCAATCAAACTTTCACGTGCAGAATTGTAATGCAAGAGAAACAATGGGTTTCTGCGACATTTTTTTATTTGCGCACTTTGGTTTGTCGCGTGGTGTTACTTGGCATCGCAGTGTCAGGTATCGGTGCCAAGTGATACCACATGACTGAACTGATGTCACGCGACGCGGTCACACTGCACTGCGACTCGACACCAGCATTGCGTGACGTGCGCAGCTGAAGAAGTGCCCGACGTCGGTGCCCCTGTGGCTGCTCCTGTCCCGGCTGGAGGAGTCCGGGGGCGCTTTGACCAAGGCCCGCTCGGTGCTGGAGAAGGCACGGCTGCGCAACCCCTGCCACCCCGAGCTCTGGCTGGAGGCTGTTCGGGTGGAGGCCAGGGCAGGCTTCAAGGAGATCGCCCTCACCCTCATGGCCAAGGGTGGGTCACTTGCGAAGTTGACGGCAATGCGGAACTTTCTTCAATAACGTAGTAACCCCACTCATCACGTTTTTAAAACAGTAACGTGTAGCCTACTTGTGTCGGTTATTTCGACTAGTGGGTAGTAACAGGTTACCCTTTACATCTTCCCAAAACTTGAAAAAAAGAATTGCAGTTCAATTTTTTTGTTTTGCTTTTAGGCAGCAAGTCATACAAATTTTTCTATTGCCCCGCCGCATATACCTTAGAAATTTTGCTCCTCTTTTTCCCACGCAAACACTCCCACTTTCTTTTAAAGTTTGCGCTTGTGCATACCTGAAACCTCAAAAAAGTAAAACATTTTTGTTCATATATAAAAAGGTAACCCAAAGGAACATGAGTCACTTTTTACCGGTAATTTTTATTTTGAGGCAACATAAACCGGTAACACATTCCTTTTATTTGCACGTAATGGTTAACATATTTTGTTACTTTCTTCCGGTAATGCCTACAACACTGGTCACTTACGAGTCACTCACTGACTCGCTCACTTTTGTGAAGGGATGTTTGACTGGATCCCAGTATGGCCCCTAAGTTAGTGAAGTCAGCTTTGCAGACAAATAACCGTCACTATTCAGTATGCTTCAAATACCTCGTCCAGTCATATTACACGCATTCTTTAACTTTGATAGTTTCCTCCTCTCCCACTGGGTTTGTGCCATGCACGTGCCTCTGCCAGTTCTGGCACGAGTGACGCCATCTTGTGGTCCAGTGGCGAACCGTGGGTTTTGGTACCTTTCGTGTTGCCGACGTGTTTTCGTTCAACGACCGAACGATGAGACGTATAAGGCTTTCACCTTAATAAGAAAGATGCCCCAGTGGGACTCGCACTTGGATCAGTGCTGGGGCAGTTGGATACTATAGCCGCTGAGCAGCGTAGCGCAGCAGCTCTGTGAGGGTTAATGATTTTATTTGGATGCAAATGTGCTAGTGAGAGCGGCATATTTTGAATGAAAATAATAAAAATTAATAAATAAAAAAATGTAAAAAAACATAAATATGTAAAAAAAAAAAAACTAAAATAATAAAATGAAAACAAATCAAACTTAATTAAAAATCTAGGACAAACTACACACGGAGTGTTTTGTGCGGGACGCACCGTGTGCTCCTCGGTCTTTCGTCAGCACGATCGAGCTTGATAGATGTTTCTTTTGGCCGCTCGTCGGCATCCGCAGCCATGCAGGACTGTCCCGGCAGCGGCATCCTGTGGTCGGAGGCCATCTTTATGGAGCCTCGCCCCCAGCGCAAGACCAAGAGCGTGGACGCACTCAAGCGCTGCGAGCACGACCCTTACGTGCTGCTGGCCGTCAGCAAGTGTGTCTCTCCTCCCTTCTCCCTCTTTTTATTTCCTGTGCACTCCCCGTAGGGACCAGGTTCCTAAAGCAAGCGCTGCATTGTACAAAGTATGGTCTGGAGACATATTTGAAGCATGCATACGTACAAAGCGAGTGGGGATTCCCACGGAAGACAGTACAAAATAATCTCGCTCCACACAGCTCGTGTTTTCGGTACTTTGTGTAGTGGAAAGAGTCACGGTGATTTGGGAAGGGTCATTGCCAGGTTATACATTGCTTTTGGCGTGTCGGCAGCAGTTCTACCGGCACCGAGTGGATATTCATATGAACGCCGACGCAAGGTTCCGGTTAGGAGCTTCGTCGCTATTTCTCAGCAGACGCAACAGCGCCATCAACTACGGTGGTGCACCACCGTCATTATTGCTGATAATTTGGTCATTCTTTGGTTTTCCCTACCTGACAAGGACCCACTACCCCTTAATGGGAAGTTGCAAGCATAACAAAATTTACTGCAGTCGGTGACAGGTTAAGAAAAGAAATGGAAGCTCCTCCCACCTTTTTCCACTTTAGCAGAGCGAACACTGGAGAGGAGGCGACCTCCTCTCGAGCATTCGCTCTGCTAAAGTGGAAAGAGGTGGGAGGAGCTTCCACTTTACTCTCAACCTGTCATCGACTATAGTGGTTTCTTTTTTTTGTTTTTGTACACACTTTTAATTGACTAATTTTCTAGAATTTGAATGTCATCCAGCAAAAACGAGACGACGTTTGGCAACGATTCACCCGTCTTCAGTTTCGGTATGCCTGTAATGTCCAGTTTTTTCATATTTCGGATTCCTCTTCAATGAGCAGCGAAGGTACCGCGTCTGCACGATTCTAATGCACACTTTTTTTCGGCAAAATTGGTGCCCTAAAATTCATGCGCGTTACAATCGAAACCAAAAACAGAACTGAAAAAGAAAAATGCAATACCCGATATAAGCTGGCTAGCCCCATTGCCATCATGACCATTTGTTTACATTTGCCATTTTGGTATCCATATCACGCGCATTCTCTCGTATCTATGGACTCGTGTCTGCCTTTTGAAGATGGAAAAACAAAAGGAATTTGGCTAGGAGGCATTATTTAAACGAAGGGTCATCACGCTGGCAGGAAAAGATAACAACAGAGCAGCACTGCGTGGCCTCGCAATCCCAGCGGCCCAACAAGCGCGCAAAGTTGCTTGTAAGACGACCCTCCCAGAGACGACGGTCGTGGACTCGTACAAGCGCAAGAGGCGCGGCACCTAAACACTTTAGCCCTTTAGACCAAAGCATGGATTACCTCTATGGACAGTGAAGAACCATCATCTGACTTCGACAACGGCGACTAGTGCATGGTATTCATTTTTGTACTGCCGTGCGTTTCATCAACTCTGTTCGATGAGACATGTGTTCAACCTTCATTGTTTTACCTGTGTGGTAAAATTAGCAGCAATTTACTTTTTAAATATCTGGGAGCTAATTCTGCCTGTGCGTTAGAATCGTGCTAACACGGTATTCTGGCGTTAGGTGAAGTTTTCCTTGTTTCTTCCGTCACCCACTCCAGGCTGTTCTGGACCGAGCGCAAGACGAACAAGGTGCGAGAGTGGCTGAACCGCACGGTCAAGATTGAACCAGACCTTGGCGATGCCTGGGCATACTTCTACAAGTTTGAGCTCCTCCACGGCAGTGAGGTGAGCTTACTGGACCCAAAGGCTGGTTTGCACACTTGCGAACCAGCCTACTGTTTCACGGCTACCTGACGTGACTCGCGTCATGTTGGGAAGCTGCGGAATACCTGGCATTTTTGTACAATTTCTAGATGTAAACTTTTGACTATGTTATTAACAACGATTTCTCGTAGATAGTAGGTGCATTTGATCTCGCAAATAGCGCCAAACTTTCCAAGCCTTGGCGCAAATAGCGCCAAGGATTCAATTGCGGAGCAAACATTTTAATGCAGTGCAATCCACTTATAACGATACCACATATAACGATATACTGCTTATAACAATCAGTTTATAGAGTTTATAGACTAAAAACGATCAGTTTCTAGTCCAGATACGACGATAATCGGTTATAACGATTGTATTTTTGGGTTTTCTCATTATTGTTATAAGTGTATTGCACTGTACATGTCTAATAAAAACAGAAATAAAGTTAGAAAGGACAAAGATTTGAATATAACGTAGACAATAAAAGGTTCTGATATTAAAGCAAATGCGACAGTGTGAGTGAATAACTTCCGTTGATCCTCCCACTGCAGACATGTTCGTACAGCAAACAAACGTTCTGAAAAAGTGAGCTTCTAATATTCTTTGCGATATTAATAATTCGAGGAATTACGTTTACACAAGCTCTCCTACAATGAAGCACCAGTTTAAACAAAAAGGACTAGGATGTCTTTCCCGAAGAGATCGGCTGGTGCTGGATTGGGAGCTTCAAGCAGTGGCTGATGTTTCTTCCTTGCTATAGTGTGTTCATCTACTTTTTGTTTTTGATTAGAGTTGCCTCTAATTTCAGTGTATGGTGAAGAATAATTGTTTGATTAGAAATGGTATGTCTTTTCTACGTGACAAACGTCATTTGACCGCAGTTCTCTATTTGAAGCGGGGCAGCAAACAAAAACCCGGCATCTTTTCCGAGATCAAGCCCAGAGGGCCTTACTGATGCGAGGATAGGTCATCATATTACATGCCGTAGAATTCCGGAACCATCTCATAGCCCCCGGACAAACTGTGCCTTATATGCATCAGTTAGAAATGGCAACATGGCGGCTCGGTGACGTTGGCCTAGTGTCCAAGAGATTGTAATCAGCGTCGGCGTGTTTGGCCGATACGGTAGATGCGCCGATGGCATTTGCTTCGAGGTGATTGTAACCGGCCCGTTTGCCAATTTGGTCACCCAGGAGCAGCAGGAAGAGGTGAAGCGTCGCTGCATCCTCGCCGAGCCCAGGCACGGCCCCAACTGGTGCAAGGTCTCCAAGGACATTGTCAACTGGCGCAAGAAGACGGAGGACATTCTCGTCCTCGTGGCAGCATCCTTGCCGTTACCAACGTAGAGGGATCTGGGACGCCGGGACATTGTACATAATCCTTTCTTTCTTGTGTTGAAACACCCCCCAATAAATTAGACTTTTACATTTATTGGGCTTACTTTCTGTTGCACTGGAAGTCACAACGTGGTGGGGAAACAAATCCTTACAAGTAAGCAGCTTGAACACTACAGTTTGTCTACGGGCCTCGCTCGTCCACCCATTTTAGGCTTTGTTTTGGAAAGCTGTTGAGCACTGGTACTTTTGAAGGGGCGTGTGACCCTGCACAGACATCCCCATTATTATTGGAGTTGGGAAACGATGGCATAATGGTGATGGTGCCCACATAGATTCGTAGGCACATTTGCTTCAAAGACCTGGAGTTACATTGAACCCGTAGTTTTGCAGCATGGTTTTCTTTGGAAATAAACTTTCAGCCTTTCCACCCTGTTGAAGAAGAAAGAGCAGTAGCATCTGTTCTCGGCGGTGGCTTTCCAGGAGAGCGATCTGCTTTTTTGCAAGGGAATCTGAAGTGCTTGACGCAGTCGAACTTTAGGCGATAGCGACCTTGCGGCGGTTGTGGAACCACTTGCGCCGCTTGTTCCGTTAACGCTCTTCCTCCAAAGAAATGTTGCCGCCGTCTATGAGCGACGGCAGCAACCAGTTGTCTGGTTGCCACGATCTAGGAGCGACGTCGGCAAGCAGACAACCGGCAAACACAACACTGGACAGCTGCCGCCATCTATAAGCAACGGCGGCAACCAGAGTGTTGTGTCGACCACGGGTGTCGACATTTTTTTTGTACCGAACACGATCCTGGGGAAACTGGCTCTTAGCAGCTCCGCTGTAAAAAAAGAGATTGCATTCGTAGCTTTGGCATTCACTCGGCTGGGAGGGTGAACAAAACATAGTTGGGCACGAGTATGACTCGCATCGCTGTCCCATGGAGCAGAGCCGGTGGCATCTCTAACCACGAAAAAACTGCTCCTAAAATCGTAACCGCGAAAATTGGCACCTAAATTGGCTGCGACGCGTCATATCGGATGCTTTGTCATGGAAGCCAGCGCGGCCGCTCGAGATCAAAGCTGACGTGCCTCGGAAATAAAACGCAAAGAAAAGCACAGCAACGTAGATGCCTCGTCGTGGAAACCAGTAGGTGTGCCCAAAATCAAAGCGGACGCGCTTCAGAAAAAGGCTCAAGGTACACCTAAGCACTTCTTACGAGTTGTGAATGCGAAAGCATGAATGCCGGCGCACTCGCAGTGCGGGCCCGCAGCGCCATGGGGTGGCAATCCTTGAAACTGACGCGCGGCGGCAAATGGGAGCCTGGTTCCTTGAAACTATGATACGCGCCAGCCAGGGATGGGCAGTATTTCAAATACGAGTATTTGAAATACACATTTCAAATACTTTGTGTATTTTGCATTTGTATTTAATTACAAATTGGGTAATGTATTTGACGTGTGTATTTAAATACTAAAATGTGGGTATTTCAAATACAATTGTAATTAAATACAATTTGGTGGCGAAAATACATCTTGTTTTTATGCATGTGATTGTAAGATATAGTCTCCATCCGTTATTCGGCCATGGGGCTTTTTTTCTTTTTCTCCTCCGGCCTTATTATAAAGGCACTGTCCAGAGCAGGAAGAAAACTATGTTCTGCACCGAATGCAGTGTCTCTCAATCAAGCACAAGCGTTTAGTGACTTTGTGATTACAGTGCTAGTCCAGGGCAAGAATAGTGACGAAATCGACGTTCACAGGCAGACTGGCTAAATAAGTGCCTGTGACAACTGTGTTTTTTTCCAGCCTGATTTCCATCCATAGTTTTGCCTGGAACATTCTAAATGCGCAAGTCGTCCAGATTTTCGTAACTGGTGCAAGTTGCAACAATAAAAATTTCTCTAGCTAGTGCTGCGCGTCTTGGTCGTCTCGATTCTTTGTTGGTCTATACCAAAGTGTAATCGACAAAAAAAGCTGCTTGAAGCTCTACTTTTTTCACCTATTACGTCCAAGCTGATTAAATTTTTTTTTTTTTTTTTGTGATTATATTTCTGTTACTTTACTAGTGCGTCGCACACTAACTCCCAAGTGTGCGATGCAAAATTAAAATGAGATACCCAGAAACCCGTGGCAGGTGCCCTGAAGTCGCTGAAGCAAATATTGAGGAATGTATTTGGAAAAGTATTTGGAGGAGACCAAATATATTTGGTTGTATTTGTATCTTGTAACTAAATGCTTTTTTAGAAATGTAATTAGATTTGTAATTATACATTTTTGACAAAGTATTTTATATTTGTATTTCGACACATATTTGCATCTATTTTGCCCATCCCTGGCGCCAGCCAATGGGAGCCTATTCATCAGATTTCAGCTTCACTTTTGGAGAGGGAAATTTAGCTTCCATTTGGCGTGGATTCAAAGCTGGTGACGTCGTCTCGCTCCATGGGACAGTTAATGATTTTGCATAAAGCAGAAAGAAGAGCACAGAAAGGCAATGCTTTTTCACGGAAGCTGTTGTGAAGCTTGCAAAGTTCGCTGCGCCTGCACAGTGGGGGTGCGTGATATCATCACCACAGCACCATCTGTGATAGGAAGACGTGGCACGCTGCTTGTAGGGATCGGAGGAGGAGGACAAAGCATATTTATTAAGACTCGTACGTAACTTAAATACTCTACTGAAGTTACTGTATCTTAAATACTTTTGTAACTTGGTATCTTGCAAATACTTTCGAACGTCAGTATTTAGAACTCTAACATAAATATTTTTTTAAGTAACTTGTACTCATTTTAAAGTTAGTTTTAAGTTACTTTCTTTTTTTTATTTTCTTTAGAGGCGGGAAGCTTGGAAAATATTGAACTCCAGTTATTTTGGCTAGGCGCCCTGCCATTGCAGATACATTTCGTGCCAGGTAATACAGTGCACTTCCATGATTCTACTGAAGGAGATGACATGGAGAAGCAGGTGTCGCAGCCTCAAGCCGAGCGGACGTGTGTCTTGTCTTCTTACTGGGCAAAACGTCAAAGCACATTTTCTTACAGTTTGTTTGTGGCCAAGCCCGAGAGCAACGGAGATTCCGAAGCAGAAGGGCATGCGGGTGAAAGCATAAGATGTGTACAAAGCTACAAGCCAGAGGGAGGGTACTTGTATCGGAGAGAGGGTGGGTTCTACAGGGGTCTGGTAAGAGTCGACAGTAAACCGGAGTTTATTTTTCTATGTTATGTAGTGAAAGCACATAAAAGAAAGCCTTCCAGCTTCAGAAATGCCTATGCATCCGCACGCGGTCGCACACACCGCTCGTTCGTTGCTCTCTTCGCGCACAAGACTCCTAAGACGCAATTACACGGCTCCGATCCGGCGGCCCATCGCTAGCGGCGTACTGAGTTTTCGGAGACCGCGTTTCCCCCTCCGCTAAGCCCTCCGCAACGAAGAAGCCGCTACTGCGCCTGCGTGCCGATGGCCTTGGCTGTAGATTTCCGGGTAGCGAAAAACAAAGACGTAAACTTTTTTTTTTTTTTTTGGGGGGGGGGGGGGGGGGGGCAATGGGGCTCGTGCTTTTCCCCTGAGTCCGGGCAATGATCCTTACCGAGGCGATGTTTACGTGCCATGTAACGAGCTTCTAGTAGTGGCATGTAAACAAAATAACGCCCACGTTGCCTATATTGACAAAATACATGGGAAATGGAATCCCAGCGTGCTTTCGTTAGCTCCCCCCCCCCCCCCCCCCTCATTAACGAAAGTTCATCATACTCAAGACGTCATAGTGGGCGTTTGGCCAATCATGGAAAGACGACAACAGTATGACGCTTTGGTCGCTGTCCTCACCAAGCCCGATCCCTGGACCGGTGCTCTTCGGAGCCATCATGGACCGGAGCGGCAGCCTGGGGCAGCGGTCGTGCGGCTCCAGCGGCGACTGCGTCGACAGTGCAAGAACGAGAGCAAGGTCTTCAGCATCCCTGGTCATCCTCCTAGCCACCAGCATGGCACCCTACTACTTGCTCCTGTTCGCGCACACGCGCGCGACCGCGTGGTAGGCCGCGAGGCGCTGGATTTAAATACAGTTGTCAATCATCCGGTTTCCTTCGCGGCACGTGCATCCGCACGTCCCACTATATGACGAAAATAAGTGTCTTGAAGCGCTTCGAGCGTAACTAAGGGGGTCGTGGCAGTCTGCAAGGCTGGGAGGCGTTGCTACGTCGGGATAAGAATTAAGGCTCGTTTATACACTTGCGTTCATTTACCACCGAGCTCTTGCAATCTTTTACGACGAGAGCGAGCGCACACTGGCACGCTGGCGTCATCTACGAGGTGGCCCTGCAATTGTATTTCACTAGACATGACTCTAGACATGGCCTCCGATATCCCGAAGCGCGCACGTCGGATCTCGGGGGCCATGCACTAGAGTGAGGGCTTTGCGGTAGCTGCGAGATCAAATGTACGAACTTCTATGAGGAACGGTCGTTTATAACATTATCGGACGCTCTTCAAGTCTCTCCTCCCCCCCCCCCCCCCCTTCCATAAAAAAAAAAAGAAGAAACGATGCGGGAAAAAAGAAAAGGCAATGTACGGAAACGCCAAGTTGTTCCACGGTTACCCGACAGATGGCGCCAGTGTGTCCTCTCGTCGTAACAGATGAAAGGTTTTAAGGTAATCGGTCATCAGCAGTCGCAAGTGTGTCAACCGGCCTTTAGTGGTGAGCTTTCGTAGATCGTTCCCACCGTCCCGCAACGCCCTCGGCAGCCCGCTACGATATCCAGAACTCTACAAAGCTAGCGACACGCATGCGCCGTAGCGGGACAGCAAGAACACTGGGTCGTTTTCATAGACCGTACGTTTCCCCCTCCGCTAAGCCTTCCGCAACAACAAGGCTTCTACTGCGCCTGAGCGCCGATGGCCTTGGCTGTAGAGATCCGGGTATCAGAAAGGGTTGCGGAGAGCGTTGCGGGACGGCGAAAACCATCTACGAAAACTCCCTACTGTGTAGCGGCATGTCCGTAGCGGAGAGAGAAAAACAGACTACGATAACTCGTGTGTCCGCGACTTACCGAACTTTACTGGGCTTCGCCGTACACGCCTCGGGCACCTGTTAGAACTTAGAAGCGGGGAACTGTAAAACCGGGTGCCTCGGCTAACGCAGGCCCTCCAGAATGCAGCAAGTGTGTCGGTGTAGATGAAACGGCCTCCATGTTGAGTGCACAAGGCCCTATTTAAATACCGTGAGCTGCGAGCTCGGTTATATTGTTGTACCTAGCTGTCCAATTTACCTCTTTACGTCGTGAAGCAATATGAACGGAGCTATTACAGCGTGGTATGCAGCGAGCGGACCATCACCCCGCGAAATTAAGCGCAGAGCCAAGCAACCTCACCTGATCCGACTGCGATGTCAACGTAGTCATCAACAAGAAATACTCAATACCAACTTCGTCCATTCGCATCTTTATTTATTCAAAATATGAACCTTGTTCCCGCCAGATTAGAACGTAAGTAGCGAAACTAAAAACGGAACCTTTCGGTAGCGCGAGTCATGCAGTCCATGTATCGAGGGACCTTACACATATCCGCTCCGCGTTTGAAAGTGCCACTTGGAAAGAAAAAAATAAAATATCCCCATTTTGGTCCCGCCGATTAACTGTAGAAAGAACGTCTACCTACATGACACATCTAGATGTTTGTCTTCGCCCGCATCAATAAGGTTGTCAAAGGACTTGAAGTTCCAAGAATGACAGGGAGAGAAATGCGGTTTTTATCGCCAGCAGTCGAAATCAACAGCTTAGAGTAAGGCACTGAGCAGATCTGAGGCACTTCGTGGTAAGCATCGAACCGGCTTCCTGCGAGCGCCTGAGTTTGTACAGGAATGTACATGGAAATACTACAAAGTGGAGTCTTGTGGAAAGCCTTACATAAAGTTCACATGAAACCTACACTAGCAAACTGACTCATTGGCTAACATGTTATCAAAAACCGTGCACCCCCCCCCCCCCCCCCGCCCGCCCCCCTTCCCTAAAGCCTAAAAACAAAAGTAAGCTGCCAGTTCCTTGCTCAGATCACAATTGTGTGGCGGAACATGCGTTCGATGTTTTTAAGAGTGGATTACCCAGTAGCCCAAATTTGCAGCACGCATATGACTGTTCATTGCAGCTGTGAAGGCTGCAACTTTCCATGGAGGCGTTCTACCTACTACTGCGAATCTTTAATAAACTCAGATGTATCAAATTCGTCATTTTGTATCGAAACACCGTATACAATCAGCTCATTTTACGAGCGTTGTCAACCTCGGCAGGGCACTGTCACAACGGTAGAAACAGATAACCTAGCAGGTGCGGATGGCATACGATGACAAAGTGAACAGCACGTCTTCATCGTACGGGACTTCTGCGGCGAGCACTGAACTGATGAAGTTTGACCGACAGAAGCGGAAGCATGCAACTCGTATCCGGCCACGCAAGGTATGCACAAGGGCGCTCGTGCACCAGGGAACACACCAGAGCACCTTCGACGAAGAAGGCACCGCAGCAATCCCAACAACTCTGCCAAGTCAACAACACCAACAGAGTTCACGTTCCTATAGCTTCCAGCTTCCGCGGAGCGTCGACTTCGCTGAAGACTGGACCGTTCGACGAAGCTCGATTTGTTTTCTGCCCGCGCAGTTGTGGCCTTGAGGACGGACAACGGTACGTCCAGGAGGCGTCACTGTCTGGTGTCACGCAGCAGTCCGCACTCAGAGCCTGCTGGCTCCGACTGCCGCGGAGTCGATGTTGTTGGGGGACGGTCTCTCGGATGGTTCGGGACAGAAGAGGACCTCTTCGAGGAAGACGTCGTCCTCGTCTCCCGGGGTGTGGCAGCGGATCTGCTGGAGGAACACGGCGCGGCGTCGCTTCTCCAGGATCTCGTCCATGGCCAGCTTCCGGTCCAGGGTCGCCAGGGTGTGCATGTAGTCGGTCGTGTTCAGCCGGTCCCGCGAGAACAGGCGAGACCGCGTGGACAGGGGCTGCTGCTGCCTCGTGCCTGCGAGAGAACGAAGCGACGTTGAGAGCGAGGGCCGTTGGGTACCACTGAGGACCGATTTCATCGGTCGGTGGCACGTTAACCACACTGCTCATAGATCATCAAGAAGACACGGTACTAGCAGAAGAAGCGAGACAGAATTATTTGGGACAGGTTCGAAGCATGCTTCGAACAGCTCTGCAGATAGCCTTTGTATGATCAACATGACAGGACAGTTCTAACAGGAACAAACATGCCTCAGGCAGTGTCTACAGACTGTATTTTGCATGAAGTATTAGCAAGGTGAATGCGGCTTTAAGTAGGGGTCACACTGCTCATGCATCATACAAACGACAGTCTGCAAACGCGAGTCACCGCAGTATCCGTGGTTCGAATGCCGCGTGCCAATTTTTCTCCTCAAACTCATTGCCACGCGGCATTCGAAGCAGGGGTCTCGCGGTGACTCGCGTTCGAATTTGTGTGCACACTGTCTTTTGTACGATTTATAAGCAGTGCGACCCCGATATAGGGGTACACCAAGTTATACGCAAAGTACTTTTTTTTTTTCGCTCACATCACGATATGAGGGCCGGATATTGGCGAGGTATACCCTGGGCCATGGTGATGTTCAGAGTTTGTAAACTACGCTCCTTGGTAATGCTTGAGAAGATGCAAGCGTGCGCGGGTGAGCTCTCGTTTCCATGCTAGAAACATGCATTCTTCTCAGTATTGTACACGTTACTCAAAAAAAAAAACGTAATAAATTACAATTACTAGTGGTAAAAAAGTCTTCAAATAGATTACCTGATTAGAAGTAAACTAATTGGCCGCTACTTGAAAAGTAACCGTTACTTTTCCGATACTTCAGATTTTCAAAATGTCAGTTTTCTGCCGGCTTGAAAACGGGTCTTTTGTACAGCGTATTATTGAATCAGAATCACCGAATTATAAACTACCGATCTACTTGAAGGGGCCCTCCAATGAATTTTGAACTGGTCTGAAATTTGCTCCGAAACGAACGTCACCGAATGTAGGAACATAAGGGAAAAATGTTTTTGCGAAAATTCGAATGCTTTTGGAAGTCATTGCAAATTAATATTACAAAAGAAGCCGCACAATTTCACCCCTGACACAGTCAGAAAAATTCCATGATTGGAGGGTTGGAGCGAAGTGGCTGGTCAATTAATTGCCTGTGGGTTAGGCTCATGGCTGCCGCACCGAGGACGTGCACGGATCGTCGCCTCGCCGGCCTCGCTGCTAAAGCATCGCCGTAAGTTCAGGCAACGAACGCGATCGGCGTTACCAGTGGACCTGAGCTATTTATACTTCGGCCTCGGCGAACCCAACGCGTGCCAACGTAGAACGATATTCGTCGTCCACTTCTCCGCGTCCCGTCATAGAATTCAGCGAGATTAATCAAAGCAGCGAATCGAGGCAGAAAATTGCAACGTGCAAAGTAAAAAAAAAAAACAAAAAAAAAATGCTGGGGATAACAAGTGCAAAGCATATATTTTCTATCATACATCACACAAAATACAGCGAAAAAAAAAAAAAAAAAGATAACAATGTCGCGTCCGTCAAAGCATTCGCCGGCCAGCTTCGGCGGATTTGCCAATGGACTTTCGTTTCGCAGCAGCCTTCCACGTCGATTCACGTGTTACATAAAGCAGACTTGTACGTAACGCGTTACAAGTAAAGGATTACTTGTAATCGATGACATTTGACTGTAATTTTGTAACGCTTCAATTACTTCCTTTAAGGAGTAACGATATTGTAACTGAATTACTTTTTTGCTGTAACCGATCACAAAATTACCCATTACAATTTTTCTCAATTTCTTTTCTTTTTTTTTTTTTGGGGGGGGGGGGGGGGGGGGGGGTGGGGTGGGGGGAGGGGTTAGAGGGGCTGGAGTTACTCAGCTTTGGGCAGCGGTCACTTCACTATGCTTCGTTTCTTGGGTACAATTTTTTTTTTTTGGTACACCGGAGACTACGTCAGAGTATGAAAAATTACCTTACGCAGCCACTTGCGAGTAATGCATTTAGCCAGCGTTTTTTTTTTTTTTATTTCATCTTTTTTTTTTCGCGAGAGGGATTGGGTGTGTTGGCGTCACTCGCTGCAGCTCTAAACAAAAACGGTCAAGGCTTTTTTTTTTTTTTTTTTTTAACAATTGAGCGCGAGATTTTACGGATTATGCTGCCGTAATAAAAAAGGCTGAGTGAAAAGTAACGTGGAAAGTAATCGATTACTTCCGAGTAATTATTCAATTACTTTTTTGAGGCTGTAATTGTAATCGGTTACTTTTTACAGGGAAGGAATTGTAATTGCAATTGGTTACCCTTTTTCAGTAACGTGTACAAGTCTGCATAAAAGTGAGCGGATGATCCCTAAACTACGTTGTTTAGGCGTTCGCAATTGTAGCGCACTCCGAATATAAACATCTCGGGCTTCAACTTTTGTTTTCACGGCACACCGCTAGTCCATTTGGCATTTGTTGTTTCGAGCGGGAACGGATGCCGGCGACATACGACTAACACGTGATCATGCATAGCTCATACACGAGGTCATCCTGAATTCTAATAAACTCTACCTTTGGTTCGTCATCGAGCTACAAGCCTTTGGCTGGCACTCCGTGAAAGCTTCTCGGGGTAGAGCGTAGAGCCCTTCAAGTACAGACTCGCTCAATCGAGCGCACGGACGTTGTGTACACAAACAAAACACGTAAACGTTACCCCCCCCCCCCCCCCCCCCCCCCCCCCGCAAAAAAAAAAAAAAAAAGACTTTTTATTTGCAGTAACTAAATAGGTTACTCGTTACTGAATCTCGAAAGGGACGTGTTACTTTCCCTCAAAAGTAGCGAGTTACTTTTCTCGTTCCTTTGACGGCCAAATATAATATCTTTTGTTTCATGGTTTATTGTTTTCTTTTCAGTAGTCGTTGCATTTAAGCCAGTAGCGGCCTCCCGAAATTTTCATTACTTATGCATTCCCGCTTCATTGAGAATACATCTTCGGCGACGCTGAAGAGTCGACCGACGCGCTCGAAGGAACGGCAGTGTTGCGCTTCACGAAGAGCTCGTGAATCTCGGATTTCCTTGTCTCCTTTGTTTGCTCTGCTTCTGAACTCCTAAGGTGACAACGGGTTCTCTGCCTTCCCGCGTTGGCAACTTCCGGGTCTATATTCAGTCTGTACACGATTCTAGAAGGTTCGACAAACGAACTTTCTTGCGTTCCCTGGGCGAAGGACATTCCCAGCTGTAGAGTTCGAATGACGTGTTCAACGTTGCTATACTGTCATGGCGTTTATTTGTTTTTCTCGCGTTGCCCATCTGCCATTGTCGCAGTACACGCATACTCAGATTAGAATTAAAACGAGGCTGTTTATTCAACGCTGTTGTACACGTTCCTCCTCAGAAGTAACAAAATACCGTTACTTGTGACTTGGCCTTAAAAGTAACCGTCTCTTTTTTATAAAAATAGTAACGAAATGAGTTACTCGTTACCTAAACAAGTGACTAGCTAGAAGTAACACGTCACTAGTAACGCGCTACGTACATGTCTGACATCAACACACAAACACGGAGGCACCATATATACTGAACGGTGAGAACTGTAGACAGCAGATTCAAATCGCAGAAATAAGGGTCGCGCACATGCTCCGAGACAGCGGTCAATCGAATCCCGGACAAAAGCTCACCGGACAAAAGCTCACCCATTTTTTCACAGACCCGGACAAAAGCTCACCAGGAGAAAATTTCATGTTGGTCTTAACACATGTGTGCGGACAACTTAGGTGCATGCTTACGACACTCAAATACAACGATAACTTAAATTAAAGAAAACCCATGCATTCGTAATGAAGAGACATTGTGCCTAATCTTTATGTGCGCGTTTAGCGTGACATAAGCGCAATGAAAAAGCGAGGTCAAGAAAGGGTGACTTGGTTTCTTCGGTCACTCTTCGGGTTCAAAAACTTCGGTTCACGAAGTTTCTTGGGCGTGGCACACGGGTGCTCCGACATACCTTGAGTCAAGCAAGCTTGATCTTATCAGCTCCATTCAGTTTCAGTGAACTAAATGTTGGTCCCAAATCGTTGCTTCTCTGTCTGTAATGGCTTATCGTCGACACCTTTGCACGGGATGGGATGCCAGTTCTGATAAAAATGGTGGAATGTCCATCGCGTCCGTACTTTATCCTAGCCCGTGTTTCACCCGGGGTAGCAAAAAAAAAAAAAAAAAAAAAAAATGAGGTGAGCTTTTGTCCGCGTCAGTGAAAAAACGGATGAGCTTTTGTCCGGTTACCGGTCAATCAGCTACATGCGCTAGAGCGCATGCGCGCCGGCTGGCTTGGCTAATACCGCCGCTGGAAAGCGGGCGTGTCTTTTTTTCACCTTGTTTCTGCACATATGAACAAATATTTTTCTCACCTTTTCATCTCTCCCGTGCGATAAAAACGCTTTCTCAAAAGAATAACGATGGTTTACGGAGCGATACACGTTATTTAGCATATATTTATATAAATTCTGACGGCTTTTGCCGATTGCCAATCACCCAGTGCTTACGGTGATGTCAGTGGTCGCGCGTTTTCAACACTCTGCTGCCACCGGACGTTGAGCTGTTTTTGCCTGATCGAATTAAAATATAATGCGCGAATATTTCGCGACTACTACTTGTTCCCCGAGTAGCCCAATAGGTCAGAAGCTCGAACGTCATTTGAGGGCGCCTTTAATCTTTCAATTTTTGTAAATCTTCCAGTCTTTGGGGAGGGGAAAATAGTAGCGGTTACAAGGAATTTCCCTACCTCCAAAATAAATCAGACTATTCTTGTGACGACTTATAAAACATTCAAATTATTACAAAATTACTCCAAAGAGCAGTCGATTACAAGGAATTTCATTGCAATAAGTACCGAGCAAGCCTAGGAACCCATAGAATTACGACTGACAGTTGCTCAACCGGTACGATTGACCTAATTGAACTTTTGTTGTTGGTACTCGCGCAAACAACAAGCTCCCTGATGTGG